TGGTGGAAGAGTGCGACTGGCGAAACGATCAACATAATCCGTACGCTAAGCGCCGAGGGCCGGGAATCTGCCGTCCGAGCGGTCACACTCTGTCCGAGCAAAACATAGTTGAGCGACACATTCGTTTCTTACATCTTTCTGTATGATCATGATCGAAACATCACGTGCACCCTATTTTCAACCATGAAGAGTTACTACACTTCACTCTTATGCGCTTATTAAAACCATATACCAACATATTAGAACAGTTTCTCGCTACCACTGCTAGGGGATTCTTTTAGGCTTCTGGTTGGCCAAGAGAGCATGTCAAGCCCACTTTCTGTGTCTGGTGCACACCCTGGCTCTGCCCGCGCCTCCCATTGACCAAACTCCCTGTATACACGGCTCTGGCGTCGCCCAGTATTGCTTGACTAAAAGCTAATCCACTTTGCCACATGTGAAAGAGCTGCTGGTCGCATCTTTAAAATTGGTTTTAGTTGAGTATGCGGCTTTACTTTGGCATAATATTTCTGCTGTGATCACATCTCAAGCTACAATAGCGATGCCAGTCATTTATTTTGGTTTCGTTTTCGAACAAAGTTGCCCTTTAAAGGGGTAGTCCACCGATTTTTTGAGCTACCTCAACTAACTATATTTTCTGACTCCCCGGCCTTTACTCTCTCCGGTATGCTATTTAGAATCGTGAAATTCATAATAGGTATTGCGAAATCGGCAAATGAAAATGATGCAAAAACCAACATTCAAATATACGCTCACTTTTCAGGGCCGTGACGTCAGTGGCAGGCAGGCTTGCCAGTCGAGCAAGCAGCCAAAAAATAGAATATGCCAATCATTTGTTCCGTGCTGGAGCGCGGGTACTGCAGTGAGCTTCCCAAGCATTCATTTGACACCATGAAACTACTTCGAATCAGTTGGGAACAAAATCTACAGCCCAAAGAGTGAACCCCTGCCTTCCTCTGACGTCACTTTTTCATTGTTGCCAGTAGAGACTTTCAGTTTGAAAAACACGGTGACGACCAAAACTGTAAATTCAATAACTTCGCGAAAAAACAATATTTTGACCTAATATTTGGGATACAATTTTAGCTATGTTTGTTGGTTAGTTTAGCAAAATTTCAAGCAAATCGGAGACAATGAAAAAACCGGTGGAGTACACCTTTAAGGCTGGGTCAGACACTTGTGTTAGTATAACCAACTGCATTACAACTGCTTACGACAAGTGTTACCATGGCAACCGAGGGCCATGCGATGTGTCCTAGTGGAATGCAATGCAGCACAGTCAATGCAAATGTCTGGACCAGCCTTTAAGGAAGGACACTACCCAAAGGGGTAAACTTTTGAACCTTTAACTTGATATAAATAAAATTTACAGTATAAACTGGCAGTTGCGAGGTTGAATGCAGTACTAAGTTTCATCTATGTACGTAAATTGTGAAAGAAATTATAGTCGTTTTTATCATCGCCAAGGGGGGAGCTTGTGGGACTGAAACCCCTTAAGCTCCCCCCTTGGCAATGCCACTGGTAGGGTGCATGCCTGAAACATAGCATTCGTAAAGAATGACCATGTGGACCTACTGAAAGGCACAATGACCTGTGTTTCATATAAATGCTTATGCAGCTAAAGCTTTCTTCCAAGTTGCTGGCTCTGGAGAATACACTCATCTGTGCTAAACCCAAACCTGTTCCTTACAATGCAGAAATAACATCATGTTTGCTCTAATTTGATGGCAATCACTGACTGCATTGTCGGAGAAGTGGCAGGTGTGCCATTAGCTCAATAATCCGTGATGTTTTACAAAAGCTTCATGATGCAATACTGGGAAAGTCTTTCCTGGGATAATGTTTTCACTACCTTCTCCCATTGTTAAATGTAAGACTGAAAGACTTCTAGCATCATATTTCGTTTTATGAAACAGAACTGATGACATTCTTATCAGCAGACTTGACAAACCTTTTCATCTGAGGCAATGTTGCCTCATCTTGCAGTCTGAATAAAACTAGAATGTATCTTCACCTTTCATGTTCTATATCATTCTCACAGATTGACCTTTTTATGTTGGTAAAATGGATTCTTAGTAAAGTATTTTTTTTAGATGGATAGACAATTTAGTCTGCACAACAGTACACTTGGACCTGCACAGAAAATATGACATTATCGTTGCCAAAAGCCTTTCCGATAGCATGAAAGCTGCAAAAGCTTTAAGGGACGGGCCTTTGATAGGTTGTGTTCAAAATAAACAATGCACAGTAAATTGCATGAACAGTTGCATCAACTTTTTTTTTTTTGTATGAGAAAGATCTGTTTAGTAATCCCTCACATTCGATTTTTATGGAAGATAAATGTTTGTATTTATGCCTCTGGAGACCAACATTACAAAGTGGCTTATACATTTGCAAACTTTAGAATTCTCTTAACTAAATTTAGGTGATCATAAGATATCATTTCTGCATGTTTAAAAGTACTTTGGAAAGTAATGTTTAGGTGCTCGAAGGGGCTCTGAATTTTATGTTTATGTGCTCCAAAGTGCTACTCCAAAATCCATTTTTAAATACTCTAAAGTGCCACAAAAGTCATTTTCAGGTACTCCCAAAATTGCTCCAAATCACAATTTTGCAGTGGCATCACAGAGTGTTTAAGCAAACATGATGATCACATGGTTTATGGGCACCATGGTTGGATGGATGGATGTCAATGGCTGTACCCTTTGTAACGGGCAGTAGCTTGCGCCACCTAGTCCAAGCCTAAAAAGACAAACATATGATTCCTCCCACCCTTCTAAGCCAATTTTCTCCCCCTATCACCAGGCAGTTTGGGATATCACCAGGATGGCCTTTGGGGATCGGGAAAAAAAACAACAAAAAAAACATCACCTCTTGCCCGGCGAGGGAGGCTCCAATTTTCTTCTGGGCAAACCTTGTCGGCGTTACCCCAGCACCGAACCCACTGCGACTAACTTGTACAGTGTTGCCTGGTTGCCAGGCAAAAATTATTAACATTCGTAAATTGGTTATTGCAGTTACTATAAAGCTCTAAAATTGTGAAGCTTGGTGTATATACACTAAGCAGCCTACGAGCATTTCATTTCAAGAATAATCTACCCGTTTCATTTTTATGTCCTGAGCCCTTCAACGGAAATATAATTCATCATATTGTAAAACTCTTTATTTTTGCGGCCCCCATTTTTCGTGAATCGGACACGAAGATCAAAATCGCACCCACTAAATTTTGCGAATTCCAGATGCCTGCATTGAAACTCTTAACGACCAAAAGTTTTGCGTGCCCTTAAATTTCGCGAATTTTTCAATTTGCAAAATTTGCGGAAATTAAGGGCTCGCAAACTTAAAGGGTTTTATAGTACTCAAAATGTCATAGTGGGCGTTTGACCAATCGTAGAACTCCGACTAGTAGGACGCTTTTGGTTGCGTACATCACCAATAGTCCTTGTCGAGAAGACTGAGGCCCTATGAAGGCAGCCATTGTTCAGAATTGTGGCTTTTGTACTTGGGTGGCTCATTCCCTTGGCATTTAATTCAAATCTCTTTTTGTTTCTCTAGGATTTTAATCCACATGTCGGCTTTAGTGTGCAGATGTCACGGGTTGATATTTTGTTTAATTTCTTTTGAGGCCTTTTTCACTTCCCTGGAATTTTCATCCGCATGACAGCCTTGGTGTGCAAATGATGTGGGTCAATACCTTTTTTGGATTTCGGTCACAGTGTCGGGACAAAATACCTTCGATTGGCCTCCTTTTTTTGTGAAACTAACAAAAGCATCGTTACAAAAAGATGCTTGCCATTGTCACTGCCCTCATTTTATTAAGCTAGCTAGCTTTTTTTTTTTTTTTTTTATCACTAACGTAGCTATAACACTTGCAGCAATAGCCATTGGCAGGGATGGGCAGTATTTCAAATTCAAGTATTTCAAATACGTATTTCAAATACTTTGTGTATTTTGCATTAGTATTTAATAACAAATTGGGTAATGTATTTGACGTGTGTATTTAAATACTAAAACGTGGGTATTTCAAATACAATTGTAATTAAATACAATTTTGTGGGTGAAAATACATCCCTCAAATTTATTGTCACTGTCCAGAGCAGGAAGAAAACTATGTTCTGCACCGAATGCAGTGTCTCTCAATCATGCAGAAGTGCTTAGTGACTTTGTGATTACGGTGCTTGTCTAGGTCAAGAATAGTGACGAAATCGACGTTCCCAGGCAGACTGGCTAAATAAGTGCCTTTGACAACTTGTGATGCTTTCCAGCCTGATTTCCATCCATATATTTGCCTGGAACATTCTAAACGCGCGGGTCGTCCAGATTTTCGTAACTGGTGCGAGTTGCAACAATAAAAAATTCTCTAGCTAGCGCTGCGCATCTTGGTCGTCTCGGTTCTTTGTTGGTCTATACCAAAATGTAATCGACAAAAAAAGCTGCTTGAAGCTCTGTACTTTTTTCACCTATTACGTCCAAGCTGATTACATTTTTTTTGTGATAATATTTCTATTACGTTACTAGAGCCTCGCACACTAACTCCCGAGTGTGCGATGCAAAATTAAAATGAGATACCCAGAAACCCGTTGCAGGTGCCCTGAAGTCACTGACGCAAATTCTGAGGAATGTATTTAGAAAAGTATTTGGAGGAGACCAAATACATTTGGTTGTATTTGTATCTTGTACTTAAATGCTTTTTTGGAAATGTAATTAGATTTGTAATTAAATACATTTTTAACTAAGTATTTTGTATTTGTATTTCGATACATTTTTGCATGTATTTTGCCCATCCCTGGCCATTGGGTATAAAGACGTCTATTGGGGACTTTAACGAAATCAGCAGCACCTAGTGATCAAAGCACAAAGCTAATGCAGTTGATTTGCTATTGAAGAATGTGAATTTTCAGTTCTGCCTAGCTATGATTGAAATAGTAGTCTAAAATATGTAAACATAGTCCCCTCTTGCTCTCTGGTGCCATAAGCTGTTTGTGTACCTGACTTTGCAGGAGGGCTTCTTGTTGGGAGAAATCACCAGCCGCATCACGGACACTATCAGCGATGCCCAGCTACACAGCGAGAGGGAGGAGACTAACCTCAGTAAGGAAAACTATGGAGGCACACGAAACAAAATTTTCATGTGGCCCAACCAGAGTACTAAATGAGCCTAGACCATGTGGCCTACTGTCACATGTGAAAAAACTGGTCTGCATGCCCTGCTTTCCTAAAATAAACTAAAAATACCATAAAAAGTGGGTTAGCCCTTCCTCTTTTAAATGCTTCCTCCTTACCAGCAGGAGTGCAAAGAGAAAATTGTATTGTCATGCCCCTGTCACACAAAGCAGTATCCCTTTGGTTGCCCACCATATTGTATTAGCTGTCGTCAAACTTGAGTGAGAGTGTGTTCATCTTTAGTTGTGTTTTGTGCGGAACCGGGGCACGAAGACAAACCATTCTGGCATACTTGATTTTCTCGGAGGATCGAACTTGCGCAGCGCGTACCCCTGGGACGGTTTTGCTAGTGAATGCAGCCATTCCTCCTGGCAGGCATGAGGGATTTTAAGCTCATGTGACCGGTTTTGGGGGGGAGGGGGAAGGGAAGGGAAGGGGAAGGTACCTAGCGCCGCCAACAGCTGTTTTGCAAATGGCGTCGGCAAGGACATGGCCGCCCAATCCAAACTAAGCACAAACTGCGATGCCCGTTAGGTGCGATTTGTGAACGGACGCAGCTACGATCTCATCCAAGACGTCAAGGGGATTGAGGCGGTCTCGTAGCACACATTCTCTGCTCTACATTAACATGCCATACTGCCAAGACATGCAAGTCGGATTGACATGCTGGAGATTAGGGTGTCATAATCAAGCCCGGCACCGGCCTACGGATCCCCAGGTGGCGGGTTCGAATCCTGACCGAGGTGCCCGCAATATGACAGAGGCTTATTGCAGAGAAGGCGCCGTGTAACCGAGCTTTCGGTTGCACGTCAAAAGATCCCCAGGTGGTCGAAATTAATCCTCAGTCCTCCGCTGGGGCGTGCCAGATGCCCGTCGTAGGTTTGGCACGTAAAACCCCAAAATTTTTTATTTTTAGGGTGTCACAATCAGTCCGCAAATCAGTCGTTAGTCAGTTTGTTGGTCGGTGAAATGGTCTGGCAATTGGTCAGGAAACAGTGGGAAGAAAGCATGTAATCGCAGGATAAGCAAAGCAAAACAGTGAAAAGAATCAACAGTGTTCCTAAAGGGAAAACCACCACTTTTGGCTAAACTAGAATTAAATAGCAATACTAATTTATGTAATCACTTCTACACAATGCAAAGAGCCATTTCAAGCTGTAAAACAACTTTTTTATTTCAATCTTTCTTTCATATTTAGGTGAAGTTTTACGAGGCACATCTTCAAAATTCATTTTGAGTTGATAAATTATCCAGTCTTTGTGCACCAGCACTTTGGCCCATGCACCATGAAACCATAAAATCTGCATTCGCCTTGCAAGGTCTCATGGCAACTACATGTAGCAGTTGACAGCACGAGCTGTAGCACAAGCTGGCACGCCACTATGTACTCATAAAGGTACCTACTTGCGTCCGCGGAACCGGTTACGGGACGTAAAAATCCCTCGTATCCGCTGGTAGGAATAGCCGCATCACTAGCAAGCTGCCCTTGGTGCGCCTCAGTCAGGCCCACCTGAGGATCACGTAGGGCCTACATGGGCTCTGCTAGAGTCACTGAATAGGTTTCCAGAGTACCGAAACTCCCAAGCTCCGCGCCGTGGCTCTAAAATTCAACCATGTCCGTGCCACCATTTTAGAGCCTTGCATAGTACACTGTACTATAACTGTTCGCATAGTGTGCCGTTGGCATTGTCAACAGGTGTTTCCGGTAAGTGTATGGCGCTGTGGATAGCCACCATAAATCATTTACGACATCATTGACATTGCAGTCTATCTGCACTCGTGTAATCATTAATGCGTGGTTCACGTTAAAGACCCCAGCTTGGCAGTCATACTGTACTGGTCAAATATCTCATTTTGAGATTAGTTACCTATTTCTGCCGTCAGATTAAGCCGCTGGTATTTTCTAATGTTTTTTGAGCATTTAAAAGACCATTGAATAAGTGCAGCAGCATTTCATTGATTTATTTACAACTGCATAGAAGATGTTCAGGACTGGACAGCAACATGATAGAATAAAACGGCCTCAAGCTCTTGTGATGTCTTTTTCTTGACAATTGCTTTGCTGGCCAGATGAAGCTTGCAGAAAAGTCCAGTAATGATTTCCCCATGACGATTCTCAAGGCAGTTGACAGTCTTCACAATCTCTGCAAATGATTAATGCAGACAGATAAAACCGACAATGAGTTCTGAGAATGGCTTGCTAAGAAATCAACTGCTCACTAATCTGCAAACCCCAAGGGTGTTTGTGTCATCAGTCAAACTACCTGAGCAGCAAGATGCATCTTTTTTGCTCGGGGCATCAAGTAAATACCTGTCTAAGACCGTGATGTCAAGGCTTCATTCATGTTTTTTTCGTGCCACAACGCAGAGAAACACCAATGTAATCAATAAAAAAATAATCTGATGACAATTGTCTGAGTGCCTATTCACACAAGAGTGTTTGCTTAAATTGCATTATCAGTTACCCGGACATTCATACTTCCAAGTTTGCATGCAAAGCTACTCTTTACACCGGTTTTCACGCTTCATATGAAGCAAAGCAATTTGAATAGAAAACACTGCAATTGAATTCTTATTCAGAAGCAGCCGCTCCTTCAAGCATTGCTTGTGCCGAACCAAACTCAATCGAAGCAGCCTGATCGGCTGCGAGGCAACGAGCAAGATGCGGAGAAGACCAGTGAAATACGCTCGCCTCACAAGGCGTGCTTCCTGCATTGGGCTTGGAATTCTTTTGTTTTAGAATTGCAAGCCGAGTACTCTTCCCCTTCACAGTAGCGTTCTTGCCCAACAAGAAGTGGAAGAGTCTTTTGCAGTTCTCTGGCCTGCTTCTGCACTCAAAGGCACAACAAGCAGGCATGTAGGAGCCGCAAAAGACGGAACGTTAGGATGCGATTCCTTGAAAATACCTGCGTCACGGCACTAAGTGGATGAGAAGCAACCCGGAGCGTTGCAGCAGAAGCTGGCCGACCACAATATGGCGGCCTATGGTGGCGATTTGAAACAGTGACAATGATAGTGGCGGCACACGTCTTAAGTGACCGCTGTCGTCCAATGATGTCACAGAAAATCAAAACATATTCAGCTAGAGTGAAACTGTTGTTGGCAAAGCATTAAAGAATGGGAATGCAGTACTCTGACACAGTATTCAGTGACACTAGGCTCTGTGTCATGAACTACATGGGAAATTAATTTAATGGTCTGGTGAAACCAAGTTATCTTGTATACCGTTAGCTGCAGAAGCTTAGTATGCAGTAGTATGTAAAGGGAGCTCACTTCTGTGTGCTGCATTTGGGACTCTGCTTTCAGAAATCTGCTCAATCATACCATGCGACCTGTTCGAGTTCTACGACAAGAGGTGCCACCTTATTGTGGATAAGCTGGCGGCTCTTCTGCGAGACAAGCAAAAGGCAAGGCTTCTTTGTCTTAGTTAGGTCGACGTCTGCTTGAACTACCATGGTGCCCGCTTCCAACTCAGGGTATCAGTATTACTGGAGTTGAGCTGAGTGTTTCCTATTTTGCAAACTTTGTGAGCAGTGGTGTTTGAAAATTTTGTTATAATGAAGTTCATAGGGGGGAACATCACCTCTAAATGGGCCAGGGACTACTCCAGATTCCCAGGAAATGCTCAAAAGGATAGTTGTTGCGGGGCAAAAACATGTTGAAAAGAAGAAAAGAATTTATTGAATGTGCAATGTCTACCTTTCCTTTATAGCACAGTCCAAAATTTATGTTGCTACATGGAAGAAAGAAAAGAACAAGCAGGAAGCTTCCTGGGATCTTTTCAAAAAACCACTATTTTCAATTTCTCTCTCTCTTCAGTGTAATGAAATCGCTCCATAATCACTGCAACATTTTTGTGGAGGTGAGTATTTCTCTGGTACCTTTACTCTGCCAGACCTGGAACTTCGAAACCACCGCCTTCCTCCTCTTGTCGGAATGCCTGAAGATGCGCCCCACTGCAAATTCCACTGCCACATGTTATCTCCCACCTGCGGGGCCCAGAGAATTCCACTGGCACAGGAAATCAGGATGTTGAGGAATGGAGACTCTTATATGAGCACATCAGCATCTTTAATAGATGGGACGCCAATTTCATGCTTGCTGATATCATCTTTTACCTCAAAGGTTTAGCGCAGACCTGGTTTTGCCCTCAAAGAAACTATCGCATTGTGGGACATGTGCAAGGACTAAATTCTACTCAACAGCTCTTCTGACCTTGGCCGAGTCATACATTGCATGCATACAAGATATCTTGTCTCTATGCCATAAAGCAGACGCTTCCATGGCCAACTCCGAGCAAATTTTGCACGTGCTGAAGAGCATCACTGAAGACACTTTTCAGCTACTTTTTTTTTAAAGACTGTATGACCATCAACGCACTTGTAAAAGAATGCTGGCGATTTGAAGATGTAAAAAACATTGGTTCACATCCAACTTCATCTGGCACCCTAATGCCATGACTGCTTCCACATGTGATGAAACTCCAAGCTCATTGGAACAGGTAGCCAAAATTGTCCGCCGTGCGCTAGAAGCCATGCTCCCAATCACTACGGTTTCTCGCTCAACCAAAGACCTACAGCCGCACTCTATATCAACGGTCCAAGCTGTAATCCACCAAGAAATAGGCCGACTTTACATTCCGATACTGTCATGTCAAGCGTAGTCTTTCCTCTACCGCCTAGCTTATACAATATAGGAACTCATGAAGGCCAAGCTCCACTACGAGACCCAGCAGCATGGAGGACACCGGACAACCATTCAGTCTGCTTCCAGTGTAGCGCTGTTATCACATCGCCCATTACTGCCGCAGCCAATGGAACAACCAACCACATACTACTACTTCTTCGATGATCAGTTCGCTCCGTCATCACCACTTGGTCCTTCTCCGAACGACGGATTTTTCGCACTGTCCCAACACCACCACTCTACCTCCCTCCGTCGCTGCCAGCCCTTGTCACCTGCCCCTCGCGGCCTCCGGTCGCTGGCCCCTGATTGCTGAATCTCAGAATACTAAGTTATGCAGCTTCAAGTGGTGAGGCTGCATCACTGTCACTGCAGCCAAATCCTCTGAATGCCCTTTCCACCACTGCCCATAATCAGCTGCCTCTTTGAATAAACTGTGTCCTTATATATGCCCTTGAGGACACAGGAGTTGCCATTTCTATAATGAGAAAAGATTTGATGCATCAGGGTATACAAACCTTTCACCCCACTCAACTCAAAACTCATGAAAAAAAAAATTTTGGTTGTGTATGTTTAAACAGCCTGAACTTAGTCTGTCTCAACGGGCGACTTGTTTCCCAGTTGTAGATGAGCAATTTAATCAGTGTAGTACAAACGCTAGCCTGGGGTCTTTAACATGCGCCATGCAGTAGTGATGCACGACCATGTTTATCCAGATCGAAACGGGCAGGGGTGTGGATCGAGGCCAGGGTCCCTGGGTTCTGCAGCGCAAGCTTTCCCTCCACGTGCTCCGAGCTGGTGTGCGCTAGACCACTCGGCCACCGATCCCCCTCAAAACTCCTGATTAGTGCAGATGATGGTCGCATTATACTTTCCGTTGGCATTTGCAGCGCGCATATTGCTCTCGATCATCAAGCAACTTTTCTTCTTTTTACGATCCATCTTGAGCTGTCCATATCTTTCGGGGTATCAGGGAAGGGGGGAGGGGGGGGGGGACGGCAGTATAAGTGGGGAGGAGCTGAACAAAACTACACCAGCACCATCTTTGAGTGCGAATGCCTGGCTGTCGTCTGGTCTATCGTGACAATTTTGTCCATACCTCTTCAGGGTGTGTTCAGATTAGATTGAACACGCAAAGTCCGGTTTGAATTTCTTTTTTTTTTTTTTTCCTATCTTTATATGTTACTCTTTAATATGTAAAGGGAACGAAATCACAAATGTTTTCTAAAAAAAAGAACAAAAAAACATGACTGCGCCAAGACGGCAACGCCGTTTTCGGGCTTTGTCGGTTCTATCAAGTTTGACTGCACGTAATAGGCAAACTAAAAATACCCAAAAAATTAATATTTTTCAAGAAGCAGTGAATTATTGTTACTATATTTTTTAATGTTTACAGAATTCTAAAAAATTATTTATCACACGTAAAAAATTCATAAATTTGGCTGCTTTAACATTTTGACCCCATTTTTGTTACTCATTGTCTCATTATGTGTTAAGGATATTAAACTGAAACTGTTTTCATGTGTCCTTCATAAAAGTGTCTTTTATCAAAAAATAAATTGCTGCTCTAGTTTATAATTCAAATTACAGCACTTCAAACATATCCAAAATTAAAAAGTTTCGCAACTTCAACGTGCAACTAAAAATTAAACCATCTTCAATCTTTCTAAAATTACGAGGAATCACTCTCTTTTTGGAATCACTCTCTTTTAGACCGTCATAATATTCCTTTAAAAACATGTTGCATCATTTTGTCTCCGTCAAAAGTACAGCGCATTGACATGTACCTCCATGCGTGAACAGTTTTGCCCAAGGCCACAGCTGCATTGGCTGCCTTCCAATTTTTTTCTCACAATGTCCTGTTTTTGACTGGTGCACAAGTTTGGATTATTGGGGAGCCTGCCCTTTGTGCTTAATTGTTCCATAGGCCACTGCACGATCGTGTGAACTTAAACAGAATTCCCCAGCACGAAACGATATAAAATACCTCGGTTCACACTGTAAATGTAAGAACTGAACATAACAGCTCGGTGGGATTGAGGATCAGCACTTTTACTACCTTTTTACGCAACTGTTTTAATAAATAGTTCCGCTGACACCTTGGCTTGTCCGCTTGTCCCGGCTGTCGCTTGGCGCGTCCTCGGTCATTGTTATAAAATAAATAAAAATGCATTGGCACTCAACATGTTCAAGCAGCGGTTATGATATATATTGCTAGTATCCGGTGGCGCGCTCAGGTATATACTGCGACTATGCGTATAAGAACTTTCGTATAATGTCCGACCTCCTAGGCCCCTCGGCCCCGCTCGCACGCATCAAGTTTCGTTCACCGAGAACGGCTGTTACCAGGGCCTCGAGACACTTTCAATTTACGACGCAGCAGTGTGCACCTCGCTGCGTCGTTCTGTTATGGATTAAATAAACGCATTTATGCGGACTATGACATTGGCGACGAGGAAGTTTCTTGAAGAATGGACGACGACGACGCTCATCACAGACGGATTCCTTTAATTTCACGTGTATACTAACTCGCGGTGCAATAATTGTTGTTGCCAGTTGTAAGTTTTGTCTGTCCGTCCTTTATGTTATCCCTTCCTCAAATATGCTATACTCGGTGTGCGCAAACCTATATACTTCCCCACCCCCATTTTTTTTTCCTTGTCTCGTCAACTCCGCTGCATTCATAATCTACACCACTGATCTCGGTGGCGATTATCGTCAACTTATTGGGTCCCTACGTGGACTCGTGTGGGTCCGGTGGTTTGTTGGTCAGGGGAGTTTCTCTTGAGCATTGAGCGCCAATATTTATGTAAAAATAAATAAAAACCCTACCAGCCTGGCTCTTCCAGCACCGTCAGTTTACTTAAGCAAACAATGTCTGAAAGCGGTTTTTTTTTCCTTCTTTTTGTGTGTTAGGGGTTGGGAGCTTCTTGGTTATATATGTTTTCTTTCTATCGTGCCTAGTGTCTCGAGGCGGGTTGTGTTTCAGTTCGCTCGACCATGCAGTTGCCTATGCAACAATTAAGCACAGAGGGTGCACTCGTTACAGTTTGCATCTTTGGTGTTTCGAACTGCCGTCCTGAGCTACGTTCAGTTCATGCATGTATTTAGAGTGGTCCAGATGTTTAATTTGGACTTGTGCACCAGCAAAAAACAGGACATTGCGAGAAGTTCTAAAAACTGGAAGGCAGCCAGTGCGGCGGTGGCCTTAGGCAAAAATGTCCACGTGCAAAGATACATTTAAAAGCGCCATACTTTTGACGGAGACAAAATGATGCAACATGTTTTTAGTGGAATATTACGAGGGTGTGAAGGAGAGTTATTCCTCTAAATTTTAAACAGATCGAAGATGTTTTTTTTTTTTAATTGCACATTGAAGTTGCAAAACTTTTCAAATTTTGGGCATGTTTTAAGCGCTCTAAATAATTTCAATTATCAACGAGAGCAGCAATTTATTTTTTGATAAGAGACTTTTATGAAAGACATGAAAAAAGTTCCAGTTTAATATCCTTAACACACAACAAAATAACGAGTCACAAAAAGGGGGTCAAAATGTTAAAGCAGCCAAATATGTGACTTTTTTAAGTGCGATATATAATTTTAGAATTGTGTAAACATTCAAGAATATGGCAACAATAATTTACTGCATCTTCAAAAAAAATTTTTTTTTTTTTGTATTTTTAGTTTGTTTATTACATGCAGTCAAACCTGACACGACCGACAAAGCCCGAAAACTGTGTTACCGTCTTCGGGCAGTCATGTTTTTTTTTCTTTAGAGATATTTGGTAGTTTTTTTTAGAAAACATTTGTGATTTCGTTTTCTCCACATATTGGGGAGTAACATATAAAAATATAAAGAAAAACAAAAATGCGAACCGGACTCGCGTGTTCGATCTTATCTGCACACACACCAGCCATCTTTTTTCTATCATCACATATCAACATGGACTTTGCTGGACCTCATCCTTATAAGCTTCTGTAGGCTGCCTTGGACGCTAGGCTCTCAGTCTCCAGGAATAGGACTATACCGTCATCCACAAATCGGGAAAGCTTCACCAAGATGCCGACTGCCCTTCTCGACGCCTATTAACCCAGTGGACTCCTAATCGTACAACACTCCCGCTGCTTTACATATCCACTGTACTAAACATAGGATGGAAGCAATGCTGCAATAACACTCTGGAAATTATTTCTTATGATATCACTTCCTGCACAAATCTCTCATGTCCAGCCTCTGCTCCATTCGAGGTGGCATCCTTTATCAACAAAATTTTCAGCCAGATGTGCCATCTGGCTGAGTCTTCGGACCAGTGCTCACCGAGCTTCATGACTCACCATGTGCTGGCCATTTGGAAGTCAATCACACCTATGCCCATGTGATACAATGGTTCTGGAAAAATATGTACCATATCATAAAGCAATATGTCTTCCTGCAACTCCTGCCAGCGTCTGAAAACACCATCCTTGTGACCAGCAGGACTACTTCAGTGTCTGGCCCCTTCCCACCACATGTTCCAACATGTAGAAGTGGACTTTTTCGGACCGTTTCCAGACTCTTCTGCTGGTAATCGGTGCATCGCAGTAGCAGTTGATTATGCTGCTCGGTATGCGGTTGCAAGACCACTTCTGACTGGGACAGCTGTTGACATCACCGAGTTCCTATTACACAAAGTCATTCTGAAGTATGGTGTACCAAGAGTACTCATCTTCGGCCGTGGCCATCCTTTTGTATCGAGAGTTCTTGCTGAAATTTTTTGTGCCTCTGCACCATAATGCACAAGTGGTCAATGACATACCACCCACAAACCAATGGGATGGTAGAATGTCTCAACAGGATGATCTCCGACATGGTTTCTATGTACATATCATCCGACGACTGCAATTTGGGCACTGTTCTTCCATAGGTAACCTTTGCCTATAACTCTTTGCGCCACGACATAACCGGTTATTCCCCTTTCCATCTTCTCTTTGGCTGCAAACTGTTCTTCGTGATTGATTCTCTTCTGCCATTACAAGATGACTCAACACTCGCAGACTATGCGTTGGAGACCATATGCCGTGCTAAAGAATTGCGGCAACTGGCACGCTTTTAAACGCTCGACTCACAAGATCGTCACTGTGCTTGCCATGATCAAACTCGCCGTGCTGTCTCATACTCCCCTTGAGACTTGGTCCTGGACACAACAACACTTCGGCCTTGCTTAAAGAGTGACTCTGGTACATTTTCTCAATTTTAGGGTTATGACAGTTTTTAGTGAAGGAAGTGTCCCTGAATTATGGGGTGTCAGTTTTTTGTTCGATGCCTTGTGTAGTTTTGTATTGCTTCTGGGGTCTACGACAAAACTGATACTACCAACTCGAGCATGATGGCAACCAGGGCCGTACCCAGAAAAAAATTTCGGGGGGGGGTTTTCAAGGACAACGGCGGCCATTTTGAAAGTGTCTATTGTCTTATTTTCGCCTATGAATCATGTGCATCGGTGGCATATAATGGAGAGTTACAGCAAACCGTAGAACCGGTCCCGGTTTGGTACCCGGTAGCCGACCGGCGCCACTGCGCGTGCGCAGAGGTGGAGAGTAAAATCGGCTGGCTGCCAGTGCACCGACCAGGGCCGTACCCAGAAAAAAAATTTCGGGGGGGGTCAGAACCCCCTATTCCCCCCCCTGGTGGCAACCCTTGAGATCAGCTGCATAGCCATCGTGTGATGCAAAGTTTGTATTGTAGTACTGCACAACGTACGACTGGCCTAGGTAGTCGCAAGAGCAGTTCCGGTCAGTCAGGGGCCCTAAACTCGTGAAACACAAAGTTGGAGCCAAAAGTTTGCGGAGCGCGCCGATTGGACGTCGGTGAAAAAAGCGCCAAGTCATCGTCGTTATAGGCCAATCGGTGCGCTCCGTCGACTTCGGCCCCAACTTTGTGTTCGACGAGTTTAGCGACCCAGGTAGGATGCTATGGCTGTTTTACTGCTTTGCTTTGCAGATATCTAACATCTGTAGCAAATATTAATACACCTTCATGAAGTTGTTGGCCGAAAGGCAAGTTTGCCATGATGAACGCAGGCTCAGAACAACCGCCCACTTATCTTCTGAGAAGAACTACTATCTTGGTGGCGTGCAATGCACGTTGCAGAAGCATCGTGAAAGCTAATCGTGTGCTTGCACCGAGCGGGAACGGACTAAACTATGGCCATTAGTGAATGCCACCTTCAGCACCATGACACACTTGATTGAGCAGACAGTCAATACTCTTTGTGCACAATTGCCGAAGAGCACTCACAAACTACGACCGCTAAAATATAACAAGCACAAATCATCCGCTGGGACAGCTGAAAATGCACCAGAAAAACACGGCGAAAGAAGTGGCAGTACGAGCAAGAAACCTTGAAAATGAAGACGACCTATCAGGGCACAAGGTCGCTTGACAAACGCCCAACCAACGGAGAAGCTGGTGGTAGCGTTTTTAATATTAGTGTTAGAGTGGATTGCAGTTTCCCATTAGTGTCATATTTTGGCAGTGCTCGTATTTAGTCTCCGCAAATCGGTATCTGTCATGGTTCGACTTTTGACCGGAGTTACCCTTTAAAGGGGCGGTGCAACGATTTTCAGACTTTGGCCAATTAACTGCTGAATTTAATCTGTGTCACCTATGGAACGAAGAACAGAAAACCATATTTTTTTGCAAGCTCTAGTTTTTATGTAAAAAATGAAAAAAATAGAAGGTCAAAGTGTCTCTCAACTCTCCACATCACCCTTCGAGTGACATACTCTGGGGGATCATGTGGTTTCCCCTTGGGTTCTCTCTTCAGAGGCCCCAGCCGCTTCCTTTGCGATTATCGACTTTTAAAAGGATTAGCATCGTCGAAGGTCACGGCGAGCGATCGACACAAAAGGCGGTTCGCCACGGGGGTGACAGCGAGTGTAGCAGCGAAGGGGGACAGGTTTTGTTCACTGATGCGTATCCCCCAGAGTATGTCGCACATCAGTTCCGTTAACCACCACAAGCGGTTGCAGATCGGCAAATATTTCCTTTTCTTATTTGCGATTACGCACTGGAGTAGCAGTTTTTCGGAGCAAGGTGACGCGTTTTTGGTCACTTGTGCTTAGATAAACAATATAAAAAATACAAATGCCAATTCTTTCAACACTAAAATCCTTGCCCTACCCCTTTAAAAGCTCCTTCCACACTATTGACGCCCATACCAGATTATCGGCTAAGTCACCGACATCAGTTATTTTGTTAAGCCTTGTAGACTGGCCGAAAACCAGCATGCTGACTAACCGCAGGGCATTCACATTCTGAGCTCAAGCCATACTTTGTTTCACAAAACGGCGAAAACTGCTGTTTCCTCCTGCAGGGAGGGGTGTAATAATACAAGGACGAAAGAAAGGAATGAGCATAAAGCAGGGCTAGATCAAGGCAAAGAAGAGGACGCAGAGAGCTTCTCAGGATCTTTGCAAGAACCACCATTTTCAATCTCTCTTCAGTGTAGTTGCATCACTTTCTCCATAATCGCCGTAACTGCGGGATCTTCCAACACCCTTTTAAAGGGATACTTCAACGAAATTTGAAATATTCCTGTCGTGTTCAAAAATAGGTTGAATATGATCCACAATATCCGTAAATGACAATCGCACGTTTGTATTTTCAGCCTGGTGGCTGTATTTTTCGTTATAAACGGCCCACTTTCGCAAGCGCTCGGAGAAGGCCCAGCGGAGACCACGTGACATCCAACGCAATCGTGACGTAGGTCGTCTCAAGACGAGCAAAGCTACGGCGAGGCTGACGTCGAGAGGATGGCCTAGTCGTTCCAGCCACCGAAGCGGCTGCTTTTGTACAAATTTTGAGTGACGGGTTAATCTTCTATAATCTTGTAGGGGGACAATAGCGACTTCTTTGACACACAAAAGGTATTCTCGGGAAGAGGGGAGTTCCTGCTGCCCCTCTTCGCTCGTCGTGGCCGGATTCGAGACAACCTCCGTCACTAGCTGCCAAGGTTGCTAGACGGGCATTACAAGCGAGGCGTTAGCGACATCCACCAGGTGCTCTTTGCTAATCGTTTAATTCGTTTTAAAATTCCTTTTCGTGACTTTTTTAACGAGATATTGGTATGTTCGATTTAATGGTGCTTTTTTGAACACATATAGAGCAAAAAATGAGCGCCGAAATTTCGTTGTAGTATCCCTTTAAGATCTTGAAGACCCTGCACCGTAGCAATATCTTGAAGAAACTTTATTTGAACAACTTCGCATGGGTAGACATGCCTATTTGCGAGCGGGCAAGAGTTTATATATGCTGCAAGTTTGGTGCAAGAGATGCCTGTTATGAGTTCCAGAGTTTGTGCTGCTGTATTAGTAACAGTTTGCAGTGCACATTTCTCATAAAGTGGTTGCGGTTTACAGGAAGTGGTGGGCTGGTACCGGTTTCGGCGAAACAGCATCCTCCAGGCCTCCCTGCGAGAGCAGGTGCTACATGAGCGGCTTGTGCAGCGCCTAGGCCAGGGTTTTGGTCACTACTTCCTTCTGGCCCTCTTCCGAGGCTGCACCTCGTCCAACGACTCCACCCATGCCATGGAGCACGTATTTTTGCGCTCGACCGACTCGTAGGTGTACTCTTCTATTCACAGGTGCTGTTAAAGGGGGAGGATACAGGTAGGCGCCTCGACAGAAATGAGCTTGCAAAAATGACAGCTGAAGTGGCAGAGGAGCCAACTGGCTAGATATAGAATCATTAGGTTCTGTGATCCCCCGTTACAAAGGGGAAGCCAAAGGAGTCCAATCCAATCACCACATTTGCCCTGATTTATTTGACTTCCTGTGTTACCCCTGCTGTGCATATTTAATTTTAAACCAGATTACACACAGTTCATCTTAAACTTGATTTGACTACTGTCGCCATGAAATTTGCCAATCCCAACATGTGGTGCCTGTCGCCTCTCGTTAGAAGAATGTAACAGTGTCACTGATCTCCATCTGGGTCTGGCATTCAAGTTTAGTAGTTATTTCATCCTGTTTTTACTGAAACAGAGCAATGTATTAAAATTTCACGAGGTAGAAATATGTTTCTGATGAAAACCAGCCTGCTACATGCAGGCACCGAATTTTTCCAGTCATATTACGGGGTATCCAACTGTTTATGCCATTATATATACCATATTTACTCTTGAAAATAAACTAGTCTCTCTATGAAGGAAGCCCATGCACCCACTTTTCCACAGCCAATCATTGGAGCCTATGAAAGGTGTCCAGCAAACGACTGAGAAAATGTTTGAATTCAGAGATGCTACCTACACTGGGACACTGAGCGTGCCATTAAGTGCACAAAGTCTCTGCACAGATCACATTTTTGAACCCCAATGCTATCCATGTCACATCATGTGGTGGCTTGCTTCTGTAAATAGCAATGACCGGCTTTCTGCGGGCATTTCGGAGAAAGTATATTGTTGGGCTTTGTTCGTAAAAATAGAGCTATTTTTGAGTACCAAATGTGGTGGTTCCTGCACGACGACGGAGACAAGGGAGATGTAATTAAGGTGGAAATGTAACCAAAACAGACAGCTGTTGTGTTCTTATAAAATCCATGAATTCATGATGTGTCTAAGTTGTCACATGAATGATTGCAGGGCTTTCAAGCATTACTCTGCCGTACCTCTGCGAATTGTGAACTTGGGGGAACCAGGACATTCGGACTATCGCATGTACCCTGGCTCTGCAGCCAGTATCCATCAGGGGGCATTCTGCGAAGTGCTCAACTCTCTTGCACCCACAGAGTGAGTTTTCATTTCTCCTAGTTGGCTGCCAGAGACTCGCACTACCTCCCTGCTCTTACGTAGGAGCTAAACGTGACTAAAATATTCAGAGGGTCATTCCATCTCTAATGTCCCAGATGTTGCGCTCGACCCATTTCCGATTTTAGACAATAAACTCTTCTAAAGCTGTTATGTTTTTTTTATTTTTACTTGGAGCACCTCAGGGTACATTAGACTGCTGTTTAGGCAGCAAAACAGACTTCTTTAGAACTTTTTTTTTTTTTGTGAAGTATTTTGTTGTCACACATTTTCTTAACAATGCGTTTTACAAATGTGATCCTACCAACGGACAGGTCGTGCCCTGTCAGGATCATCACTCTTCGAACGTAACCAATCGGCAGCCTTTTCAACATGAAGGTTGGTCAGCTGTCCTTTCTTGTTGCCAACTTTCGCAGTTTAATACCGAAACAGGATGACTTGCTCTCTTCCATCCTCCTCCATTGATATATGTTCCGCTAATGTCATTTTTGGGAACTGAGACATGGCTCGGCTGAGACATAGCAAATTGAGAGTTGACATTTGCAGGGCTGCTTTCAGCCTATCGAAAGGACCGGTCTCACTCCAGGGCGGGAGGTGGGGTTATGATCGCCGTAAGAAAGTGCATCCCATCGTCATTTATTGCAGTTGATACAGCGCTTGAGATTCTGTGGCTTACAATTGGAATAGGCTTTCAAAGGTGCTTAGTCGGAGTGTGCTACAGACCACCGGACACCGGGGCACAGTTTATTGACCACTTAACAAAAATTGTAGATGATTTACAGTCAAAGTTCCCTAACACTCCTATAGTCCTGGCAGATTATTTTAGCTATCCTGGTATAGAATGGACAGCAAATGAAGTTTCTAGTTACTGTGCAAACAAGAGGGAATGCCTAAAAGTTCTTGAGATGGCGAGTTATTTCCAACTAAAGCAGATTGTCACAACCCCTACACATGGAGATGCTGTGTTGGATTTAATTTTTACAATGCAGCCTGAGCACACGTCGGTTAAATGTTATTGACAAAATTAGTGACCACTGTGCCGTCGGCGTAACCGTGCTATATTCAGCGGGAAAATTGACGTCGCGTGACCTCAACACCGATTCAGTTTCCTCGCTAAATTGAGCGGGGAAAATGACGTCACACAATTTCACGTCACCTATGAACAAATTCAGTTTCTCCGCTAGATTTAGCAGGAAAATTGATGCCACGTGACCTGAACAGAAATTCAATTCCCCACTAAATTTAGCGGGAAAATTGACATCACATAATCTCAACACGGATTCAGTTTTCCTGCTAAATTTAGCGGGGAAAATGATGTCACATGACTTGGTATCACGTCACCTATCAACAAATTCAGTTTCTCCGCTAGATGTACCGGGAAAATTGACATCACATGACCTCAACAGCAATGCAGTTCCCCGCTAAATTGAGTGGGAAAATTGACATCACGTGACCTCAACACCAATTCAGTTTTCCTGCTAAATTTAGCGAGGAAAATGATGTCACATGACTTGGTGTCACACTACCTATGAACAAATTCAGCTGCTCTGCTAGATTTAGCGGGGAAATTGACACCACGTGACCTCGGAGCAATTCATTTCCCCGCTAAATTTAGCAGGGAATTGAACTGCTGTTGAGGTCACGTGGCATACATTTTTCAGCTAAATTTAGCAAGGAAATTGTGGGAGGAGGGGAGGGTATGCAAGAGAAGGAGGGGGTACGGAGGACGAGGAGGAGAGGGTACAGAGGAGGAGGAGGGGCATACTCTCCCCTCCGTACCCTCCCCTCTTCCTCCTCAAGAGCTGCGCTCTAATTTTGCGTTACAGGGATTTGAAAACGTCTAATCTTTTTATTAACCAGCACGACGTTCTGCGTGAACATTCATGTGAGACGCTGCTGTTTGAGTTGTTAAATGACCTTCATCATTCTATTCACCTGTCCGGACATGTCGATGCCATTTCTATTGACTTTGCGAAAGCATTTGATCGCATACCACATAACCAGTTGATATATAAGCGGACTATACTAAACTTATCCACAGGTGCTGTTAAATGGATTAAAAACTTTTTGACTGACAGACACCTATCAGTTGTGATTCCTGTCTTCTCTTCCCGTGACGTCAGGTGTCCCGCAGGGGTCCGCACTGGGTCCCGTGCTTTTTGTCGTGTACATCAATGATCTTCACTCTAACATCAAATCTTGCGCTCATCTTTTCGTGGATGATTGCGTCATCTATCGTTCCATTATGAACCCTCACTATAGTACAATTTTACAAGATGACTTAGACACAGTTTTGAACTGGTGTGACACGTGGCTGGTGAAAATAAATACACATAAAACAAAAGCTATGACCTTCAACTTGAAACGACATCTCACCCCTTACATGTACTTTATTGTATTTATTAAAGGATGACACACATTAAAGTGTGTCATCCTTTAAATATCTTGGCCTTCATCTCTCATCGGACTTAACAAGGCGTCGCAAACTCTTGGCTTTCTCAAACGAGCAGTGTTCCAAGCATACTTGTACCGTACGCATTACAAGTAATCAAATTACTTGTAATTGATTACTTTTTGGAGTAATATTGTAATCCGTTGATTACTTTTATTAGGGAGTAATCACAAGAGTAATGTGATTACTTTTTGAAGTAATAAAATTACTTGTAACCGTTACAATTTGTCCACGGGACATCTCCCCTCCCCCCCCCCGGGCACACGCCTTTTTTTTTTGAAATGACAAAAATAAAATGAGCTTCTTTTTTTTCGAACGGAAAAAGAAAGATTTTTGCGGAGCTGTAGGAAACGAGGTCAATCTCTTTTTATGTACAGTTTCTGTGGAATGTCCGTTTTTTTTTTTTTTTTCGAGCTGGGTCTGGGAAGCCCCAGGGAAGCCACAGTGCGTGACAAAGGCCATTCAGGGCGAAGTTTCAGGAAACAGAATGTAGCTTTGTGAGTCCTTCCTTCAAACTAGCCCCCTCACGCACACAGACACAGAAATTATAAAAAAAAAAAAAAATCCTGCTTAGGGTACCTACTCGCAGCCCGTAGGAGAACCAGAACCGAAGAATGATTAAAACAGATGCAAAATATAGCAAAGGCAGTTGAAATATTTCCCCATTTCCCCTACGTGGTCTTTGTGACAAGCAATGTTTAGAGTTGAGAAGTGGTCGGGGCGATCTCTTCTGCTAATGGATACTACACATGATCCGTTTCAAATCCTGGAGCTGCTGCTCTTTTGTATAACATGCGAGCTCATCCACATGTGAATAATAAAATGAGCGACGCAAACTTTGAGCGACAACCCTTGCTCAAGCTTAACAAGCTCTAGTACCCCCTCCGCTCCCCCCCCCCCCACACACACACACACTGGCGAACGCCCAAATCATTAAACGTCTTCAAACGAATTCTATGCTTGTGTCCGCATCGTGAAGGTGCAACGACCACGAAGAGGGAGCCAGTTTTTCTTCAATACTTGTGCAAAGGTGAAATATAGGTTGTAAGTAGTTCATTGTTATGAGCGCTAAAGATGTGTCTTCACACAATAAAGTAATCTGAAAAGTAACGATTACTTCTTTAAGTAATGTCCAATTACTTTTGCCGTTGAGTAATTAAGTAATCTAATCGAATACGTTTTAGCCAAGAGTAATAGTAATTGTAATCGATTACTTTTTTTTAGTAACGTGTACAAGACTGGTTCCAAGCAAACCCAGATACAAAGCTTCTTGCCTACACTGCTCTTGTCAGATCCCAGCTTGAGTATGCATCAGTCATCTGGCACCTTCATCAAACATATCTGGCAGATAAGATTGAATCTCTTCAAAACAAAGCTGCTAGATTTATAGCTTGTGACTACTCCCGATTCACAAGTGTAAGCAGCTCAAAACATTGACTTGTCACCTCTCAATACAAGAAGGCACCTCACACGCTTATCATTTATTCATAAACTTTATTACAGTCCTCGCCTTTTAGGGACTCTTTCCTACCACTGGCTCACCATATATCATCCCGCTTAGATCACCCTTTCAAAATTAACCCCATATTTGCACGAACCAACATGTTTAAAAACTCTCCACTACTCTTTGCTATATCGAACTGGAACAGCCTCCCAAGAGAAATTGCCTCCATCAGTAACCATCATTCCTTTGTCTCCGCTCTAAACATGTTAAACCTTGAATAGTCTTGTATCCCTGCAATATTTGTTGTTGTCACTATCTTGTCTCTGAAGTACATTTTTTCTGATGTCAATATCTTGTTTCTAATGTACATTTATATTTTTTCTTTATCCAAAGATTACCCCACATTGCCCGGAGGCATCATTGCAGGGGGTTACAGTTTTGAAAAATATATACCGTATTTACTCGCACAATGAACGCACTCGCGTAATAAACGCACCCCCAAGTCGGCTCTCGAAATTTCGACTTTTTTTTTTTTTTTCACTTGCGTGATAAACGCACCCCCCAACTCGGATGTCAAAATTTTGACCCCCTCCCCACACGCGCGCGAAATGCGAAATGAACGCACTTTTCTATCCTGGTGCAGCGAGGTCGCGAATGCACGGGTAGCGCGGGCGAACAAAAAGCCTTGCAAAAGGCGTTAAAAAATTCGAAAAGATCCAACGGAAGCAAGAAAAAGACATGGAGAGGAGCTTTTTTTTTTTTTTTTTTGCACAGCCCAGCCGGGAGTGGGTTCGCGCGCCGCCGCGCGCAAGGAGGAAAGAAAGAGAAGCGCTCTAAGCGAACAAAACAGGTTGCAAAAGGGGAAAAAAAAAACACACACACACACACGGAACTAAGAGAAAACAAAAACAAAGGGGAGCTTTTTTTTTTCTTTTTTTTTTTTTTTTGCACAGCGCTGTTTGGTTACCGGGGGTCGCGCGCAAGGAGGTAAGAAATAGGAGCGGAGAAGCCCTCTAAGCAAACGAAATAGCTTGCAAAAGGCGGAAAAGAAAAAAAAAAAGAAAACCACGGAACTGAGAAAAAAAAAACGAAAGAAAAAGGTTTTTTTCTTCTTCCTCTCTTTTTTTTTTTTTTTTTTTTTTTTTTTTGCACAGCGCAGTTTGGTATGGGGGTCGTGCGTCGCGCGCCGCGCGCAAGGAGATAAGAAAGATAAGCGGAGAGCCCTCGCCTAAGCAAACAAAACAGCTTGCGAAAGGCAGAAAAAAAAAAGAACAAAAAAAAAAAACGAGGAATTAAGAGAATAAACACAAATTAGTTTTTTTTTTTTGCACAGCTTAGTTTTGTTACAGGGTCGGGCGCCGCGCGCAAAGAAATAAGAAGTAACTTCGATTTTTTCAGGATAAAAGGTCCGTTCATTATGCGAGTAAATACGAGTAAATACGGACGCAAAAATTTTACTTCGCGTGATGAACGCCCCCCCTAACTTTGCATCGATTTTTCGGGAAAAAAAGTGTGTTCATTCTGCGAGTAAATACGGAATCTTCATTTGTAGAGCACACTTGGTCTTCAGTCAACCTATTCCACTCTGCAATGGTTTCAACAAGAAATGAATTTGCATACATGTTTGTCCTGGCGGGGTACTCTCAGATTTTAAACACCATGATCAGTCCTTCTAGAAACATAATGTGGGTGTTTTAAATTCCTCTATTAATACCAGTCTTATTATTGTATATAAGAAATAAAAACTTCTGTCTTAACTTTTTTCGTCGGGAGGAAAGTAGTTCCCAATTCAATTCTCTTTTCATTAAAGTGCAGCTCTCCCTCCACCCATACCGATCCAGGACAAACCTAGCAGCTCTGTTTTGAATTTTTTTCAATTTATTGATCAAGGTTGTTTGCGAAAGGTCCCAGACAGCTCAGGCATATCCTGAAATTGGTCTGACACATATTAAGTATGCAGTTTTCTTAAAATCTGGTTGTAAGCATTTCAAATTCCTTTGAATATAATTGAGTGCCCTGCCAGCTTTCACGATCACGTCATCAACGTGAGCATTCCAAGAGGAGTTAGATGATAGAGTGACACGAAAGTACTTATACATAGATTCGTTACTTATTAAGTTGTTTCCTATCTGGTAGTGACTTCCAAGTTTTTTTCTTTTTCTTTGTAAAGACACAGGTGTACACACCTTTTTTAGATTTAAATTCATCTGCCATGTGGAGCACCAAGTATTAATACACTCCAAATATCGTTGCAACAAAGCAGCATCTTGTTCATCCTTATCTCTTCTGTACACAACGCAGTCGTCGACAAACAACCATATACACAAAGAAATTCCCACGAAAATATTGTTTACATAAATCAAAAACAAAAGTGGACCTAGAACAGAGCACTGCGGGACTCCTGACGTGAAAATCAACATACCTTGAATTTTTTTCGTTCAAGACAACACATTGGTGACGCTGAAATAAATAATTTTTAATCCATTGGAACACACTAAGATCCAAGTTTAATAGCTCGAGTTTACCAAGAAGGAGCAGGTGCGATGCAGTGTCGAATGCTTTACGAAAATCTAGAAAAACACAATCAATTCGCTCTTCATTATCAACATTAGAAGCCAATTCGTAATAAATTCTACAAGCTGTGTCATGCAAGATAGTCCTTTACGAAACCCATGTTGTTTGTTAATTAGTATATTGTTGTTTATCATATGCCCCATTATCTCTGTATATAAAATGTGTTTGATGATTTCACATGAGATAGCATTTAGTGATATTGGCCTGTAGTTTGAAACTTCTTTTTTTGAACCACCTTGGTGAATAGGGACAACATGGGTGATTTTCCAGCCCTCTGGCAGAGTACCGCACAGTGATTTATCATAGAGTAAATAAAGATACAGCAATATAGGTGCGGCACAACGCTTTAGTATATGTGGAGAAATACCATCGAGACTAGGGTGCCTCAATGTCCTTCTGTTTAGGGTGATGCCATCGTTTGTAGTACCCGATGCCGACAGCACGCGCTCACGGGTAAAATACAAAGAAATCGCAGGAAACAAAATGTCGCCGTAGCACAGTCAGCGCCACGAGCGCGTGCAGGGACACGCTCTTTCACGCGCTTCAGAACAAAAAATAAAAATAAGCATTCGAAACAAAATGGCCAGATGTCATCACCCCAAGCAAAGCGCACATGAAGGCACCCTAATCGGGACCATTTGTTTTGGTTTCGTCTATGTTTTATTAAGAGCGCCTCAATACCCCTCACGCTTGGTTCAACTGGTTCAATTAACGGGATGGTGCTTGCATGTGGTGGAGGACAGTTGCTACCTTTAGGTAGGAAGATAGATCGAAGGTAATCATTCAGGCACGTTGCCTTTTCGGTGTCGTATAAAAGGATGTGGTGGTTGTGCACAATTTCGTTCATTCCCAGGTAATCTGATCTGCACCCTTTTATGAACTGCCAAAAACGTTAGGGCTAGTTTTCATCCTGTCATTAAGTCGGTTGAAATAACCTCCCTTTGCACTTTTTTTATTAAGTTTTTACTTGTACGTTACTTTGGATAACCTTATCAAATGGTTGTAACTCTCTGTTTTCTTGTATCTGATGAGTGCTCTCCTTCTTTTTCTAATTATCCTGAGAATATGTGAGGTCACCCAAGGTTTCTTTCTTCTTTTTTGAGCCTAGTAGAATTTATGCTTGGGACATGAAGGTTTGTATTTGTAAGTTCTAGCAGCTTGCTTTCACACCATAATTATGAATGTCGTAGGCCTCAGCTAGACGTTCAAAAACCGGCAATTGGCCGAGGAGCTCTTGGGATATACTAGCATCATCAGCTTTATCAAAGTAAGAGAAACTTTTCTTGATTATTTCTTGATTCCTTGATGGTCCTCAAACATATGTTTTGTTTGAGGGCCAAAGTTGTGCCATATGCCTTGTACCTTCAATTTATGCTTTGTATGTACCTTCATTTTTTATCTTTGTCTCTTTTTGTTGCCACTTGGTTCAGTTGTACCAATCTTTGTATTACGTCCCCCTTATGTAATGCCCGAAAGGGCCTTTGGAGTTAAAATAAATAAATAAATCTACAGGGCTTCCAACAAAAAAGTTATAGTTTCCAGACACAAAGTGATAATTAAATAAAAAATTTAGATAAGTGCTAATGTTTGTGCATTTTGATGAATTTTTAAAGATATTTTAACAATAAAAATTGCACAATCATCACAACATAGCAAGCTGAAAGCCATTTGAATCTCATAACACAAACTGTGAAGCATTTTTGAAGAAAATCTGATTGTTACTCAATTATTGATTGATGCTTAGTTTTACAAGGTCAAGGACCTTGAAGTAAAAAGTTATGAATTTTCTTTCAAAAGTGAAAAATGGTTGAGCGCAACGTCTGGGACATTTGAGATGGAATGACACTCAGGAGTAATAGTATCTTATGGCGTTCTGCGGTGATTCACAGAGCACTTTGAAGTTGTTTGGAACATAAGTGTTTAACACCAAAGTTTAGCAATCCATTTTCCTAAACCAGTGGTTCTCAAATGGGGGATTGCGAAGGCGTTCTAGGGGTCCGTGAAGCCCTGCCTCATCAATAAAGCCCGGCAATAAAAGTTGTCTTTTGTCAGATCGAAAAGAAATGTTTCAGTTTTCGGGCAAGTTTTCTCATGTGTATATCAGTAAGAGAAGTCTACTTCACACTAGCCCTAAGTTGTATCCATTTATTAAATCATTATTAAATTTAACCTATACCTTTCCCCTCCCTTCACCACGAACGGGGTCCTCCATCATCTCCGCTGATCCACAAGGGGTCCGCGAAGCATCGATGGTTGAGAACCACTTTTCCTAAACAATGCACAGAAAAGGTTCTCTATCATTAACATTTTACTGCGATAAAGCAGCATGAACTGTCGGAAGATAGTGCACTATGCCACGGTTTATTAGACGTAGGAGAGTGACTCTAATTAGTGTCCACCCCTGGTCTAAGGGGGGGGCATCCTAGTGTTTCTGCTCCTATGCTGTTTGCTCATGAAAATGGTCAGGTTTCATTGTTGTCTTTGATAAACTTGTCTGTACTGTAATCTGTGCTGTTTTTTTGTTCTCAGTGTGTCCGTTGAAATGGTCTGCCACATGCACAATCTGCATGGATTGCTCCATCGTAAACTGAGGGTATGTTGCAAGATAGCACAAACTTTGTTTCCCCTGTAAGTGACATAAACGTAGCTCAACTTTTGCTCTTTTGCCATAGGAATTGCAAAACAGCGTTGCGGATTCGGAGGAAAATGTGGCCACATTTGCAGATGACGTTGCTCAGCTACGGGAGAAGTATGCTGCCATGAAGAAAGTTCTCGGTGAGTGACCTTAATTCTGGTGTCCGTCAACCCAGCATTGTAAAAAGACAGCACCAAAAACACAATTTTTGTAATATGACTAACATTTCCTTGGGAATTCACTGTTTCCAACATAATTGAAACAGCATGAACAGTTCTATTTCAAAGTGAAACTAGTAATTTCTTGCATTAAAGGACCATTTGCATTAGAGTACACTGTGCAACTCTGTTAGTGCAAGCAATCGATAACCATCGTTTGTTTTTTCTGTTTTCCTCCGACTCAAAGGATTGTCATCAAAACTACCAGTATGGTGTTAACCCCTTTAGTTTGGGTGAGCCTAGCTTGTCCACCTAGGGCCATCCTCAAACCATTTAGGACAAGTGTATCTCGTCCGTGCACCCTCGTTTGCCCCTTAGCTGTTTTGGACAACCCAGGCTTGTTCAGAGCTTAGTTTGCGGTGCTGCTAGGAGATGGCAGCATGTGCAGTGTGAAGTTTTTTACTGTACGCATTTTAAAAAATGACTATAGGTGGTGGAGACACGTTTAATGTAAAAAACTGCCAAAAATTAAAAAAAAAAAAAAAAAAAAAAAAAGCTAAGGGGTTTAGCAGTGTTGCGGAATGAGCACCCCCATTCCATTCCGGGGAATTGGCATTTTCAATAATTCAATTCCTTTCTATTCCTTTCAACGTTTTATAAAACACAATGACAACTGCAAAAATGTGCAAAACGTCTCCCCAAAGCACTGACTGCTAAGCTGATCGGTGGTCACACAAAGCACTCAAGGGTCACTGCAGACATCGGTATGTCACAGATGAGCCAGCTATGGCACTTTTGACTCCAGGCGCGTCTCTGGCGTGAAAAGGCCCGCATCGGAGGAAGGCGGGCAGCATGGCTTTGTTCCGGCCTGGGGGGCCTTTCACCGGTGGTCTAATCACGTATGGTCACAACAGTCGCTTCGTCGCATCTCACGGCGCCAGGAATGACATCTTGTCTGTATACAATTATTCAGTTTTGAATGCTTCACTGAGGGAGTCACTTTTATCTTCGAAGGAGGAGGAGCCGGTCAGAAAATTAGGCAGTCAGTCACCTTAAGTGCAATGGTGCTGTTTCAAGAATCACTTCGACTGTACACTCACAGGCCGTGGGCCCTAGCAGAAGATGAACACAGCGTATGAATCGAGCCTATTTCGTTCTCACTCCATTCCAGGCAAAGAGCATCTAGTTCCATTCCCATTCCTCCCAGTGCTACCACCATTTCATTCACATTCCATTCCGAAGTTGTGGAAGTGTGGAATGATTCCGGAATCATTTCCACTCCGGAGTGGCAACTCCACAACACTGGTGTTAAGTGTTCATTTGGGGCAGTAGCCTGTGCAATAAAATGTGTATGCTCGCCAATATCCTTTCAAAGTAAGATGTGAAAAAGTGCCGATGTCGGTGTTTCTGCTAACAGCGTCGCATAGTGTACCATCTGCATCAGAGTTGCCAAATATTTTACTCAAAACTGCAATTTGTAGGGTTGTGCAAATATTCTAATAAGTAGTTTCGATAATAGACTGTTCACTGTGAGACAAACTGTAATGTTCATATTTTTAGAAGAGTTGAGGCAAAAAGTGCAGTCACGGCGAGTTAGTTATGTCACTTCTTACCGAGCACCGGTGTACTGTGAAGAGACAATACCTGCGGAACTAACACCGCAATCCTGCAAGTATTGCTTTGCCGCAGCGCAGTCGTTGCTATGGGGAAAGCACACTTTCAGAGCAGGACACGCTTCTAGTGAGTAGAACCTCATTGATATGGTCTCGGTTTATATGTTTTCTCGGCTGGTATGTATGCGACCATCGGTCTCGTTAAAGTTCCGTATGGATATGTGTATATTAGTTTGCTGCTTGTTACCTTTGCTTTCCCTGTTCTTCGTTTTCAAAACTGCAACCCCACAAGGCCGACACCCTCTTGCATTAAGCAAACTATGGTTTCCTCGTGAGTAGATTAGCACTGACACTGAGGGTCCTTTGTTGAATCGGTACGCTCCTGGGCATCACTTGTTTTTAGCACTATTAGACGAGTTTAGTAGATGGTTTAGACAACTCCGATAATGATGCCCGGTACTCCACCAATGCCTTTGCGCATGCATTGTATTGTTATCAGAACAATCTACTGAAACTCCCTATTGAAACAGCGACAGCGAACCTAAGCATTACCAGGAATAGAACCATGCTAACAATGTGAGAAATAAAAATGTAAAAAGAATTTGAACAGCTACCATTGCTGCTAAATGGTGTTTAAAAAAAAAAACACTCAAAATTGACAGTATCTACGAAGAAGGCATTATGAGAAAGCAAAAGCTATAATTTAGGCACAAATGTCAAAATAGGCATTTATAGACAATATAAAAACACCTTTAAAACACTAATTAACGCCCCATCTACTTCATGCTCATATATATCAAAAGGCAGTGTTGGGTAAAGTACATCTAAAATGTACTTGAACTAAAATACAAAGCAAATGAGAGGTTATGTACTTTAAGTAAATTAGTAAGTACACCGGGCACTATGTATTTGAAGTACTATAAATGCAATGTACTTTCAAATTTAACATATAATCTTTCATGATGGAGAGAGCATGACTACCGTAATATCCCAAGATGCCCACCCCCGAAAGATAACCCTCCCCTTACTTTTATCTTGATTTGCCATTTTCTTTTAAACACCGAAAGATAGCTCACTCCTAGGAATCGTAACGTTCAAATCGATGATGACCTCGGCGTAAATACGGCTAGGTAGCTACGGCGGGATAGAAGCGAACATTGCTGACTGGGAAGGACAGTCATGTTTGCTTCATTGTCCCTCGCCACGATAACAAGTTTGGCGAAAAAACATAATCTAAAAATGGCTTCTTTTTTTTTTTTTTTAACTTTTCTTGGTTAAACATTGAAAGTTAGCCCACCATTATTTTCACCCGATTTGCTCTCGATTTTATGTGAGCTATCTCTCAGGATATTACGGTATACAGTCAAACCCGTTTATAACGAACAGCAGGAAACGCTCCGATCAGTTCGATATAGCAAGTAGTTCGATATAGCAAAAAATTTTACAACGAACTTCCACGATGCGTTCGTTGTAAGGCAAGAGCTTCTATTTCTCTCTCATCTCTTCGCTTCCACCTTGTAAGAAAGTGCTAAAATGTTTTTTTGTTTTTTTTGCATGCTTGCAGAGTTTGTTGTTTTAGCTTATCTCCCCTTCTAAATCACTTCTCTTCGTAGGTGACCGCCTTCAGATAAAGATTTTTTTTTTTTTCTTTGGTGTGTGCAGTGTTTTTTTTTTGTTTTTTTTTCGCAGCTTTTCCCCCTACTGAATCGTTGCTCTTTGTTAACTTTGTTCGCGGCTTGAGCTTTTAGAATTTTCTTCCTTTCCTAGATTTTTTTTTTAGGGAAGCGACAGGCTAGAAGACGATTGTTTGCACGTTTTTGTAAGCCTTCCCGGGGGGAAAAAGTTTGATATAGCCAATACGTTGTTCGTTATAAAAAGTATTTTTTACATGCATTTTTTATTTAAATTTTTCGCGAGTTCGATATCAACAATAATTCGCTGTATGTGGGTTTGTTCTGAACGGGTTTCACTGTACTCGTATTCACCTCAAGAACCAATGTAGGAAGTCCAGCTCCTCGTGGAATGCTACTAATTTCCCCCTTCCTGTGTTGAATTAAGATATACGTAGGTGCACCTTAGTTTAGCTTAATGCTATTTTATCAGGACATACATGTTTCAAGTGCCAAAAGCATCGCTCCTTCCTTCAACAACCAAATATTGCAAGAACTACTTTGCGCAGCGCATGAATCATGCACAAAACTTCCTGTATTCTTGATGCGACAATGAGTATAGAAGAGAACATGACTTCAGCCCCGTAGCTTCCGCAAGCAGTGCTTTATTGGAGGAGCGTCCCCTCCTAGTACTTTTAACCTGCTTGTTGAGGTGACCGAGCGAGAAGTGGCAAGGGGGAGTTCAAAATGCTGTGGGAAAGCCGCCCCCAGCTCAAACGGAGCGATGCATCGTCTGCTCGCGTTTCTGGTGTGAGAATTTCTTCACAGTATTTCTTTAAAGTTGACAAAGCATCATTTTGTGATGCAATTTTACCAAGACAGAATTTGGGGGATTTACTTTGAAGTTGTACTTTCCTTGGAAACTACCAGAAAAAATACTTTGACTACAATTACATACTCTGAGATCATACTTAAAATAAAAGTTTTCTAAACCTACTTGAAGTAGTACTGCAAGTACAATGTACTTGAAGTACTTCCCGACACTGACACGGCATACGCATGCAACAAAATTGGTAATTGGCTAAACATCCAGTCTCTTAATTATGCACCACACGTAGCAGCCTTGCATCGAGCTTCCTCACTTTGCATCGGTGTGTAAGGAGCAGTGACCAACATGGGGGAGCATCTGCATTATTAATTCAATGGGCTCGGAAATTTGGTTGAATTTGGTCAGCATTCTTTGCTTATGATTATGGATAGTCCCCTAGTTTTAAAGAACAGTTCTGAAAAACAAAAAAACTGTCAACCTTTATTTAATAAATTTGGTACTAGTATGCCAAAGCTGTGAAACTTCATGGAAATGAGTTTCCATGTGGGAGTTACTTTCCATCTCATCTTAGATTCCAAAAATAATTATGTTTTCCCAAATCATACATTGTTTTATCATAGTCCCCTGAAAAATGTATCAGTGGGGCTCTACTATTTAGAAAGGAACTTGAAAACCTTGTGTATGTTAAAACAGTCAACTCAATAATTAGAAGCTCTTCTTATTCAGTACTCACTCAATTCTTATTCAGTACTCACTCAAGAGAAGTTGTTGATTTTTGCTTACCTCCGCCGATGAAGATGCACCGCAGTAACTATGCTTTTCAAATTACAAATGTTTCTTAGGTGCCTTAGGCATTTTCTTTGCTAAAGAAGTCCTTATCACACCCAATGCAGTTTCTGCACCAGCAGTATTAGGTGTGGAAAATGATGTGACGGTTCCTAGACCGAACCACTTGCACAATTTCACTGTCCAAAAGCGGACTCAACACCACGGCTGGCCGTATGCTTAATGGTCAAAACATCTCCCAAGGTTGGAAAATACATCAAGTCCAGTTTTGTTGGCCATGCATTCCATGCGGCCACGCTGTTGACCTCTTCCGTAACTTCCGTAGGGATGGCGCCATGATGTACATGCTCACTGCCATGCTTGGCTTGGCAGCTAAACTGTGTGTCGTGTTTGTTCTTTCTTTTCTCGACTGTGCAGAGCTTTTTTGTGCTCCCAGAGTTACTGGACTGAATTCTTTAAATTACCCAAACCCAGAGGAAAAACTTCAAATTACCAGTGTTTTCTCGCGTAGACTTACAGTATGATCTCCGGGACTGCATGCAAGCTTCATACAAGCCAAAAATTTGAATAAAGCGACTTTCACTTACCAAGAGTTGACCGTACCTACAATACAATGCAGTAGACTTTAAAAAAAAAAAAAAAGAAAAAAAATTTAACTATAGCTATTAATTAAAATATATATGTTATAGCCTCTTCCCCTGAAAATTGGGAGCACTCACCTAGTGGCTTCAACTGATCTGTGGAAAGTGGCAGAGTGTGCCGAGCGATCGAGATAAGTTTGCTGTGCTGCTTGCATAGAAGAAGTTTGATCCCTTGCAGCATTTCAGTTTCAATCTTTGCACTAACCTTGTCAGGCACAATGGCAACCATGCCAGCAGCACTTTACGGTAGAAAGTTATAATAATATCTGAGGAATGTGGTGCTGTTAGAGCTGGTCGAAGGTTGGCAAAGCAAGATGATGCCTGTAGCATTTGTTTCACCGAAATAAATGTTACAGGCATCCACAATGTACTTTTTTGGGTTGATCAATAATAGACTTAGGTGGATGTCTGCTCGTCATAAAGAAATTTTGTTTTTCACTCATATCTTTTGATCTAGGTCAGGGGTGGCCAGGCTGACCCGGTCTAAGAGCCGCAAACAAAACCACGAAACTTCCAAGAGCCGCGGGGGAGGGGGGTATGTTTACCCCCCCCCCCCCCCGCCCGCGGCTCTTAGACTGGGTCAGCCTGGCCACCCCTGACCTAGATCAAAAGATATGCAGTAAGGTCTCACCCCAGCGTTCGAACCTTGCTGCTACGCTGCCAACAACGCCCGCGACACTCGAGTGTTATTTATTCTTTCTTTTTTTGTGTTCTGGGCACAAGTTCGCCCCATTAAACGTGAATGCGTGGAGGTACAAAAATTATTCCTAACTCTCAATGGTACATAGTGTACACACTTACAATTGTTACGTGAGGGCAAAAGATATCTGGCTCGCCTTTGTTCTGGGCTCAAAAATTTACGTGAGAGCACCTGCTGGGAAGACTTGAGAGAGTGCAGCATCGCCGCCGGGCGATGTCACTGTCATGCCGAAAGGAATCGTTCAACTGTCGAGCACATAGGCGCACACACTTTGAATGAGACATTTACATCCATCGTCAAAAAAACCGAAGCTTCTTTTAGGCATGCGACACAGAGACACGTGACTTCGCCAGCACAACACCGACAACAGCCAATAGAATAAAGCGGCTAGCACTGCGATGGTTTCATCGACGGGAGACTCCAAAATAACAGAGCGATCTGATGGAGTATGTCAAAATACAATTTTAGTTTTTCACGTTTTACGGAAGTCGCGTCACAGACGTAAAAAATAATATAGGAGTTATTGTGATGTTGGACGTCAAAATAGTCGCCGCCTAACGCATATCCCTCAGATTGTTAGCGCCAAGGCGTTTCGGCGGCACCCTCACGACCAGCATTTGCCTCGCTGTGACGTCACGAGTTATAATCTTGGCTACTCATCATCAGCTGCGAATGACAAGTTGGGTGGGGTCTGTAGGAAGCACAGTGGAAGTTCTTAACAAACACCATCAGAGTTGACAGTCTGACATTACAATTATATCCATCGGTGAAAGCAAAATGAATCCAGTTAAAGGCATCATAGTGAGCATTTGCCCAATCATGAAATGCCGGCCACAGCTACGCTTTTCGTCACCAGTAGTAATTGAAAAAAAGTGCAACGTTAAGCAATATTACAATTTGCCTTTTTTTTCCTTGTTCTTTTTTTAATTTTAAACACCAACCTGCAATATCCGTTTGCATTCATCAACAGAAGAAACCACTTTTGCACAAACTTTAGGGGGACAGATTGTCCACATTGGGTACAAAAGTGGTTTTGGGGGGCATTTGATAGGGAGTTTTTGAATTTAGCTTAATGGGTTGTCCGTCTTTTCATACTGAAGGTTAGCCTTTAAAGATGCATGTTCTCATCTTGGCAAGTCCAAGTTAGTGCAGGTTTAAATGCTATGTGGTGTTGTTAGCCTTCTGTTTTAGCATGTTGGTGTCCACTTCTTTTTTGCAGAGTCATCAGCATGTAACACAAGTGGCATTGGATCAACTTCCAAGTAACAGCAGTTTCAAGAGGTGTAGAAGGAGGTGCATGCCTGTTTTACATATATGAATGCAAGTAGGATTTTTTGGGAGCCTTTTCAAAAACAGTTCAAACAAGTGTGCAAAAGTTGGGCATTTGAATTTCCACTCATGCTGTTGCTAATAAACTTCTTATCATATGGGCCTTGTCATTTTTTAGTTCCATCCGACATACTGTAAACAACTATTTTCATGGGCTCAATATTTCGTGAATTTCGCCAAATGTGGGTTTCAGGAATATTTCACAATTTGCAGTGATATGGTATCTATTCATTATCACTAGGTGATATGTTCATGGGATTATTTTTCACAAAGTCTGGAAATATTAGGTTCTTGCAAAAATTAAGTTATACGCTCTGTGCGGGAACTATAGGGGGCGCTTTGAAAACGCGCGTAGCGCCGCTAGCGGAGGAGCTGGCGTTCGACAGCGAGGTGCATTCAGCAGCCTGCGGTGCCTTTTCGCATGCGAAGCTGTGGCGGCGGAAGCGCGCTCGGACGGAACTTTTGCTTTTTGAGCCGATACGTTGAGGGTGACATTACGTGAGGGCTGGGGAGACCTAAAAAGGATATCTATACTCTTTTTCACCTCAAGAAAAAAGGATGCTTTGCGCATTGTTCATACACCAGGCGAAGTAGTTCTTATGAGATTTGGTTGTCGGAGGAAGAAGCGATGCTTTTGGTGCTTGAAACGTATACGTCTTGATTAGTAACGCATATCTAATCTAAAATGCCTGTACATATCTTAATTCTCCACATAAAGGGGAAAATCAGTAATGCTCTGCGAGGAGCCGGACTTTTTTTACTATGGTTCTTGAGGTGAAAACGGGTATAGCTGTTCTCTGCTTCATGTATTGAGTTTGACTCGTCAATAGGGGTCCTTTCTTTAGTTGCGGTCAAAAAGGGGGTTGGAGCACTTTTCCAAAAAGCAAGATGGCCGTGACCATAACTGCTCTCAGTAGAAATTTTGTTTGGCTCGTCGCTGTAAACATAGGACTACTGCGACAATGATATTTGGAGGCCAGCGAGATGTTCACTAAAGGAAAGTGTGGAGACTTTACAGGTGGGAAGGGCCAGTGGACTGTACTTCCAATTGGAACAACTTTACGAAAGGTGGTTAAAAAGCTGATAAAACAAAGTTGTCGGCCAACACACGGTTTGGCCGTCAAAGGCTTTTGCGATCAGCTGTTGAGTAATAACCTGGTTGTGCGAGTTGCCGATTTTCGGCATACAGGTACTTGGACATGACCGTAACTTGACAACACTTATCATACCAAAAGAGGCAGCATAGGGAAACCAGGTGGAAATTCAGTTTGGGGGGCGTAAATGAATGGGAACCGTTTCTGATCGTCGAGGGCTGTCAAGAGAATACCACTCGTCTTGAGATGTGCAGACTTTACAGGTAGGAAGGGACCAGTGGGCGGGTACTTCTATTTCAAACAACTTTACAATAAATAACTCCTAACAGAGAGAAAAAGAAATTGTCGTCTACAGGACTTGGGATGTCAGCATTTCCACATCCAAAAGTACACTGATCAAAAAAGAAAGCACACTACGTAAACTTCCATACTCAAACGTCGATTCTCCAGTGATTCCGAGTTGCACTGTAATTTTCCTTAGAATCATATTTGTCACTTTTTGTATACGGTCCGAATCTTTCTTCATGAAGTACAGACTGCATGCCATACTGGTCTAAAAATATCAGACATGTACGATGGGGACGAAACTTCTTTGGAGGGCATTCCTCCAGCGAAATCTGCACTGCATACCCGCGAGTGTGGGATGGCATTTCAGTTCGTCCCATCGGCTCTAACATATGTAGGCGTTACTGGTATGAAAACAAATGCAGAGCGCAACACGGCAGCGTAGAATATGTCAGCCGTGCCGACACAGTGGGGCAGGCATGATCGGGAGACCAAATTTTTCGCGTCATGAGGCACGGGTCCATTGTTGTCGCTGTCCCACAAAACATTGGCGAGTTGAAAAACTGGGAACCTTTATCCCCCCCCCCCCCCCCCCCCCCCCCGAGATACAACTCATAACTATTGAAGCACATAACGATGCAGAAGTTCATGCTGTCAACCCAGCGCAACCCCACCGCTACGACTTCAATGCCTACCAATGTATACGGTGTTGTTCCGTTTCGCTGGGGTTCTCACTGCCTACCTTCAGTAACAGCGGCGCGCCGGTCGCGTCGCATGGGAGTGTATTCGCGTCCCCAGCTCGACGGTCGCCCTCCCGCAGCGGAAACGGGAAGCACTCTAGTGAGGGTCCCCCGATTCTCCTGCTCAGCGGGCATGGCGGAACTGCTCACGATCATGGCTCGCGAAATGTCGTTTCCGAATGCAAACAACACTCTTCACTGTCCCAACGTAGTGCTGCAGCCGGCATGGGATTGTACTTTACTGGAGAATTTTAGTATTGCACATAGAAGCAAATGCAAGCGGAGTGCGTTTGCGTTAGAGTTGCGTGCCCCACGTTGTGCGTGCGCCTCATCGCCATGCGCCATCCAAGACCGCAATTTCGGGCTCCGCGCACGCGCAGTGTGGAACGCGCAAAGCTAACGCAAACACACAGGGCTTGAGTTCGCTCGTATACGCAATATTAAAACTCATTACTGTTTCACCGGCTTCCAACGCCAACAAAACGTGCTGCAGTGAGCAGACGTGCAAGCAGGTAGGCGTTCCTTCGAACTGGAAAGGCTGAGATTGGCAAAACGACGGCGAGCAAATACAAAAGTAAATAAATGTTATAGAACAACTAGTAATTAAAAAAAAAACTTTTTTTTTAAACTTTTGGGCATTTGGTCTGGAAGTATATTGGCGGCGACTTTGGACGTTTCGCCGATTGTCAAAAGTCGCGACTTTGATACCACAATATACTTTACCCACAATTAATGTAATTTTATATGGATTTCTCACATTAGCTAGAATGTTTTATTGATTTTAGACTAATTTTATATGTAATTGCAGCAATTGGAACCAGTGATGATAATTAACACAGTTTTCATTGTCATATTTCTTTGTGCATTTAAAATTAGATCATAAGCAACAAATTATATTAGAGCTTGAAGAATTACTTACTCAAATATGTGAATTTTAATATTATTATTAATACAAATCGCGGCATTGTATGCCTCTAATTAACGCCAAGATCACGAGAATACTCTATTTAATCATAATAGTCTCTCCAGAAAGGTATAATTCTGTTTTCTTTTTAGCACATGAAAAACTCTGACATAATTATCAAGATAGACAAACAGTTAAATGCTAGATGTAATATTAAGTCCTACGCGTCACGCGGTGCTATAAAAACACACACACACACACACTTCAGCTGTCTGACTCGGATTCAGTCTTGGGTTGTTGCAGTGAGAGCAGCGTTTATTAGTTTATGCGTTTCGTGGGACATATTGTAAAAATTGGAATTATTCTCTTATTCTTGTGCTAAGATAATTGTCATTATTTCCCATGACAATTATCTGAGCGAGAAAAAGACAGCGAGAACGCACAGATATCAGCACTGATCCAGGCTGATGAATATCAGCCTGGATCAGTGCTGTTTGATCCAGGCTGATGAATATCAGCCTGGATCAAACAGTATGTCACAAAATAAAGTTTCCGCGAACAACTTTTCTAAGTAAATAATTACGATGTGAGACACATCTTGAGTCATGAAAGAATTCAAAATTAAGACCTCTATTGAGAAATTAAATCCAAAATAGAGGTAAGTTTCAGTTTCGCTCCAGAATTGAAACGCACATCCTTCCGTAATTAATACGCTAAACACCGTTCTTGTTTTCAGGTTAAAGAGGTGACCTGCGCTCATAAAACATTAGCTTCCTCGTATTACCAGAAATAATTTATGTCGCTCAGTGAAGCCAGCACACTAGACAGGCTCAACAGCAACACGCATCTCTGACCCTCACTAACCCTGCCATCTTGGAAAATGAGTGGCGCCACCTATAGTTAGTTGGAGTCGCGAATAGTCCAATCATGGGACGATGCAGGAGTAGACATAAGTGTGGCTATTGCACATGCAGAGTTATGGTACGCCATACTGTTAGCACCTGTAGGGACTATTGGGAAAAGTTGCCCAATAATGGGGCAGTAGCTGTTTTGCTGCAAGTGCACATTTCATTCATTGCTTCATTTTTGTATTTTTCCTTCAAAATGTGTCTTTTAAAACAGTAAATTAGGAGGTTAGCATGCAAATACAGAAAGGCATGCTTTGCTCGTGTATATATCGTGGGCATCACACATTAACCAGGTGACACTGCCACTCTTCGCATTACAGCACCATCCCTTGTCACAATTTTTCGCTCTTGAAGTGGCAAGAAGCCCCTCCAGTATCGCAAGACTACTTCCGGAAGCATCGCAAGCTACCACCCATTACAAAGGGTATAGCCATTAACATCCATCCATAGCTGGGGCTGAAACTAATGTCTACCGAAAACCCCGGGGTGTGGTGGGGGGGGGTTGCATGTTTCTTTTCTCTCACTTCTTATCCTAATGCAGAGAGCTTTTTTTTGGACAGATAGAATGGGACCAATTATGTTCGATGTGTATGCAGTTTATTAGGTGTTGCCCCTTCTCAGGTTTTCAAATGTTTGTGAAATAAAACTAACATTTTAATTTCTAACTTCAGGTCCTATGGGTTGTGCTCTATAGCAGTGTCTGCAGTAGGCACTTTTTCCCTCAAAGCATAATGTGTGAGCAAGTCACCTGCCACAACCTTTCAGTGAGAGCTCAAAATAAGCCACGGTTACACATACATGGGAAAGGAAATCTGAAAAGGGGAGCTTCCTGGCAACATGTTACATAGCCTTCACAAGGTAAAAAATTTATGTTGCCTTTCTTTCCAAACAGTCTGCAAGCTGTGTGCACAAGCTGGCGGGCTTAAAATGAGTTACTACTGTCATCAGTAGTAAGTTGCATGGCAGGGAGTAATTTCCACAGCTCTGGATTCCTGCTTGTAGCCTCCACTATCCAATTATACAACCATTCCACTGTTGATGTTGGACATTGAAAATTTCCATATGCCTTGTGGGACACTAACCTGAAAAGTGTGTACCTTTAATGTAGGGACCATTTTTACATTTTTTTGGTGATGAAAACTATTAGAAGGGCTGCTCCAAGTTTTGAGTGGTCTGGTGTTTACTAATCCCCCAGGTAGGCATCACTGCAGCAAATTACAAGCCAAGCTACTGCTGATCATGTTATTTGCATGGCTTTACAGGGTGTGCAGAATTGAGTTTTACAGACTTTTTTTTAAGAAGAAATTATGGGAGGTATGCAAAATTAGATTTTGCACCTTACTTATGCTCTCGGGGAGACACTCAAGCGGAGAAGTAATCGTAGTCAATAATTAATGTAATTAAGGTATGTGTTCATATTGGAGACTTCCGAGGCGACCGTATTTCAAAACTCTTACTTTGTAGAATTTTCAAGAGATATCCTATTTGCCACTTAATCTGGCTAATAGAGCCTGTTGCAAGACATGCAACAGGTCTTGGGTTTGATGCCGTTCGTGGCGCCAAAAGGAACGCCAGGAATGCCCCACTCGGAACCGGTCGAAGCGCTGTACCAGACAACGGAGGATTCGCAGGACAGGGCAGACAAGCCAACGGCATTACCCCTCTCCCCTCAGGGCAAGAGGACAGGACTTCACGCATGGCCTTTTAGGATTTTTGCAAAAAGCCTATTATGCATCTAAAACCGCGAAGATCAGCACAAAAACCCTCCCTGGTGCAACGCAGGTTGTCGTGTACGACATTCTGCAGTATGAAAATGAGGTGGAGCTGATGAGGGTTCCTCTCTAGCTTTTGGCTGGCGAAGAAATATCACGCTAGGGACAGGTGCAATATGCTTCACATCGTTGAGCGATATCATAGAAGCAGAGAGCAAGAGGAATTGCTATTGGCCCCGGTCCCTTGTCATACGCAACGACCTGCATCACACGGGGTAGGGCTTTTGCACCAATCTTTACGGATTTGTACGCAGAATCGGCCGTATTGAGTGGCAAATTTGGAGACTGATATCTTAGAGCCTAGGCTGGTTACGAGAATTCTACAAAATGGGAGTCTTGAAATATGGTCGCCTTCAAGTTTCAAATATAAACATTAACCTTAATTACAGTAATTACGCTCATTAATTTTAGTTAATTACAATTGACGACAAATATTATCCTTTCATTTATAATGTTCGCAAAAACTACTTTTGCTCAGTTTTCTTTTTTATCAGTAACACTATCTTGAAAACTGCAAGTGAATTATTATAGGCCATGGTCATAGAAAGGAGGCTTACAAAGTGGACTACTATTGTATCTCAGCATAACGGATTGCAATACACACAATTGACTGGAAAGTGCCCAAAGCAACTTTAATACGAACGTTAACCAGAGTCTTACTAAAAAAAAAAGGCAAGACGATTCGCTTCCAGCAATAATTGTAGCATTTTGGTAACAACGAAATCTAGTAGTATTACTCAAATTACTTCACACTTACAAAAGCATGTGAGGTTTAAACTAATACTGCTAGTACAATGATATCTACATAGGATACAAAAGTCTTCTGAGCTTTTTGGTGCAACATGAAAATTTAACAAACTTTTTAAATGTTAAAACAGACTCCCCAAGTATCCACAGAAGATTATAAATGAAAGATGGGAATGAATGTTAAAAATGTAACAATAACCACTTCCACTCAATTCTAAAGCATGTACAAGGCCTGCACAGTAAAATATAGCGTTTGAACTTGTAGATGGCAAGCATCATGTACACTGCACCCAACATCCTGCTCCGCTATTTTCTCCATTGCAATTTCATTTTTTCAACAAGTGGCTGCAGCAAACAGTTCTATTGCCCAGGCAGTATCAGAAATGCTTCACTGACAGTGATCATTAACACATTAGCATGGTACAGTCACAATCATGAAATAATTACCCAATCAGCAACCACTCCATATTTGCAGTCATAAAGCAGCACCTTCATGACTGCTCTACTGGCTTGCTACCTCATCGCGTCTTGCCACACTTGGTTTGCAAAGCACATGCACCTTAACAGCGGCTGCCAGTAGAACAGTGGACGATTGCATATTCACCCTCATAGATCGCCACTGTACCTATTGAAATGTTCTAGGTCACCAGTTTTATGCATCAAATTAAGTATGACCCAAATTTGTTTTTCCTTAGAGCAGTTGATTTTACCTGTCAAAACATATGTGCTTACCTTACCAATCTTTGTATATTTTCTTTACACCACTTGCAAGTTTGCTTTCCTGCCTGAGGGGTAGGGTGGCTAAACCCTATCTAGCAACATTCCCAACAAAAAATGACAAAATGTGTATGCAAAGGACATGGGTGTGAAGGATAGAAGATATTACAAGTATTAATTTTTGTAAGGCTAGCTCAAAAATATAAAATAGGTTTTTCTTTTTACTTCAGCTACCAGTTTCACTACATAGTAACTGCCACAATCTATTGAGATTCATTAGTAACATCAACTCTGCTCAATTAAAAAACTAACAAGCATCTAAAGGCTTTTTTTCAATTGGTATGTTTTACTTCCTATGTAAAATATGAACTTTAAGCTACAGCCACTTTTTAGAAATTTCATCTTCATTGAAAACTATCACCACAGTCCCCTGCTCTTCAGTACAAGCATGGAGAATCATCACATTTCACCACCACCACTATCCATTCCCTGACAATTTGGCTTTCTAACTTAGCTTACAAAATTCAATGATTCCAATAAATAGTGAAGTAATTTTCTAACAATACCTAAAAAACTTACATGGGATTCACCTATCAAGAGCTCGAGCACTATGTTACAACTTAGATTAACATTTGTTTCACCAGAGGAGCCAACAGAGAGGTGCACAAGCAACCATGAGCCACTATGCCTTTCCACACCTACCAATAAAACTTGTTTTGATATCAATATGCGGAAGTATATACACTTCCTTAGTTATACACACCCTCAACGGTAACAACTACAGATCACATGCTTTACAAGGCACCAAAGGTTCTAGATGACACCATACCAATTCCAAAATAGCAGTGTAAGAATAACAAATAGAAACCAAATGTTCCTCAAACCAAATATTGATGTTCTCAAGATGCAATTATTGCACCTTGCTAAGGCTTCACATAATGCTCAATGAGCCCGAAACTTCCGGGTAAAATATTCTCCTCTGGCTGCAACTTTCACATGTACTGTATGTCTTGTGGACTTGGATACATCAAGCACCAGCACAGTTCTCTTGAATTTGGTTGCTCCAAACACCTAAACACAAATGCCTATACTCACTTTAATCCCAACAACCAACACAACAAACAATACCAAGCGGGGAGTTCCTCTCCGCAACCGAACAAAACAAGAATGGCCAGGAAATGCAGTACCTGGACAATTTATTGGTCAAATCAAAGATACCGAAGTTGAGCAAGCTCGCAGAGACGACACATAAAGCAAAGGGAAATGAACTGGAGACGCACAGCAATAAGCAGTTTCAGCGTAGGCCAGAAGTTGCACAAGATAGAGGTGCCTAAAACTAAACCAGGAACAAAAGTGGAGGCCTAGAACGTGAAAAACAAGTTGCAAAACAAAGAGACAAGCTAGAGCAAGAGGGGAGAAGGGGTCGGGGTACATGACCAACCGACCCCCGCCAGATGGACCAAGATTCGCCACATCCTCTGGGGCACAGCAGGCAAGCAAGGCACCCCCGATTCATACAGGCGCCTTTAGCAAGAACCACGGTGGCAGAGTGCTGCAACCCCACCCTTGTTACCACGAGGTGGGGCTGACGGCATTCAGGTCAAAGTTGGAGACAGCATAGCGTGCTTTCTTCTTCTCTCCTGGGGCCCCGACAGCCTTGATATCGGCCGCCACCACACGGCGCACCAGCGAAGGCGAGCTCTGTGGCGTGGCCGACGGTGTCGTGTGCGCCGACTCGCTGCCCGAGCCAGTGTCGCGGCCACCGCTCTGCAGGCTGTGGTACTGGCTCAAAACGTGGTGCCGCAGAGAGTCCTCCACCACCGGACCCCTGGGAGGCTCGCACCTGACACCACTCACCCGGATGGCAGGAGGTGCTGTGCGGACGGTAAGAGATCGTAACTCACTTGCACTAGACCCTGCAGTACGCCATTTTACTGAGCTGACCCACATAGTACACTATGCCATTTCAACCTCACCAAAGTTCTAAATCGGATGTGTCCTTTCCCACTTTGGACCATTAAATATTGAGAATGACAGCTGAGCTGGTAGTCAAATTGCATTGCCCCTCCAAAATGCACAACTTGAGTAGCAACAAGGCCTCAAGTTGATAGAAACGAATACGACCAACCCCCGAGCAGCTGAACTCGCGTCTCTGATGCTTGGAGACGCGTTCCAGGCACCACCGAGAACGGTCGACTTCTCCGGGCTCCGCGAACCCCGGAGGAGAACGTGATCCTGGCGTAAACACCGCCCCGATCCGTCGGCCCGCCGCCGCCCGTCCGCGGAGAGATCGGCGTCTCGTTCAACGAGCGGCGAATATCTGCCAGCCCTTTGCCCCAACATGGAGGTCGTCGTCGAGGGAGAAGTCATCGCCCCGGAGGACCTCAATGCGGACTGGATCCCAGTCCATACGGCCAGAAAGAAGGCTCGACAGCCGAAAGTACCCTCATCGAAGCCATCGAACCCAGCCGAGCGTCTGGCTTCCCGCAGCTCGCCAAGGCCTGGCTCCAAGCCGCGCCCGCCGCAGCTCCCAAGACTACCTGACGACGACTACAAGATCGTCATTCGTCCACGTGGTGGCCTCAACCTAAGCTCCATGAGCACAGGCAAGCTGCAAGACCTTATCTTCAACGCTGCCCAGACCAACTACGACGCCGCACGCGCCGACCAAATCCGAATCAACGCTACTCAAAACTCTATACTAATCAGCACCCCCTCCGAAGAGCGGGCGCGCACGTACTTCAACCTTCACACCTTACGCATCGGAGAGGAGAACTATCCCCTGGCCACATACGTAGCAGATCCTGCCAACACCTCACGCGGAATCATCTTTGATGTTCCAGAATACGATACACCGGACAACATCAGCCGATACCTAATCGACTACAATCACGACCCGGCTATTCTCCTTGCCCGCCGGATGGGAAAAACTAACTCCGTGCTAATAGTCTTCGACAGCCCGGAGGTGCCCCACTGGGTCAGCTACCACGGGGCCCCCTACCGCTGCGTACTATTCAAACACAAGACGGAGGCCTGCAATATCTGCTGGAAGATCGGGCATAGGGCAGATGTGTGCCCCTCACCGAGAGCCAATAAGTGCCCACGCTGCGGAATCGACAATCCGCCCACTGACCACGACTGTGAAGTGAAATGCGCCGTATGCCGAGGACCCCACCCCACGGGTTCCCCGAGGTGCAAGAAACGCTTTCAAGAACACCCTGCCATTCGCCGCCGTCAGGCACAACGCCCGGTCGGCGATTTCGGCAAAAGTTCAACCCCACCGCCCCCCCGTGGCAGGTCCAGGGAACGCAAATCAGTACCCTCCGAGCCCGGATTTCGATCCCGGTCCCGTACTCACTCCAGACCCCGACCACGATCCAGATCCAGGTCCAAACCGCGCCAGGTCCCGCAAGACGAGCCGCCCCGACAACCAGCGGCCACCAAACAGGTGAGCTGGGCTAATGTGGCCTCCGGTTCCACGGGTGGTGATGCCAGAGACAACGAGCTCGCGGCTCTACGGCGAGAGGTCCAAACCCTCACGAAATTAATCACTGCCGTTCAGAAGGAAAATACTGAATTACGAACCCTAATTAAACAGAAAGAGGTGACCCCTCCAGCACCCACTCCTGTCCCTCTCCCACAACCCGTTGCAGTCGCCATACCCTCGCCTGATAGCGCCGCCCAGCCTACCAAGCGTAGAGCAATCGATACTAATGACGTCCAAATCGTAGACGAATTACGCCGACTCTCAGAATCAATGACCGAAATGTCTCGCACTTTCAGTGCCAGACTGCAAACCTTAGAGCAAAACGTTCACAGCCGTTTTACGGCAATCGAAGGCATTGTTTCAAAGCGCTCCTCCGAATTGGCCCAACTCACCGGTCAAATGGACCAACTCACCAACCTCTCATCCCAGGCAGGGTCCTCCAATCCTCTACCACCCCCACTATCCACACCCTACCTCCAACAGTGCATCCCTGAGTATGGCTTTACCTCTCCCCCACCCGCCACGCCTCAGTAGGCACCAAACCACTATCTGGCAATGGAACTGCCGCAGCTTCCGACGGAAACGTGGCAATCTCCAACATTACATACAATCCCTCGAAACACCCCCCGATATCATAGCGATTCAGGAAACCCGCGGCCTGGTCAAACTTGCCGGCTATAGAACTTTCCAAAATCCTGATAATAAGGAACCCAATACCGCCATCCTCACACGTAGACACCTAACCGCTTCATACAAAAGCCTTGGCGGAGTTGACGTCGAGCACGACTTCCTGGAGATCCTTCCGCAGCGGAAAGGCGACCCCCGTCTCTATATACTAAACGTATACAGCCCCCCGTCGGCTCGCAAACACAGATTTGGCGTTCTCTTTTCGCGTGCCCTAAGGGAGGCGGGTCCTCACGGCCTGGTCATAGTGGGAGACTTCAATGCCTCCCACACGGCATGGGGTTACAGGACATGCACTCCCAAGGGTCGGGATATATGGACCCAAGCGCAACAACACCGTATCACCCTGGTAACGGACCCCCTCCAGCAAACACGAATAGGTACCAGCGTAACGGTTGACACGACACCGGATCTAACGTTCACACACAACACAGCCCTCTTAAACTGGCGAAATCTCGGAGAACCGCTAGGTAGTGACCACTACATACTTGAAACCACGGTAGGGGGGTGCCTTGGAAAATCCCGTCGCAACCGCCTCCGCATTACTAAATGGGACGACTTTAGGGCCAGTAGAGAGGCATCTGCAACCGAAACCATTACCAACCTAGAAGAGTGGGCCTCCACTCTCCTAACAGACATTCAACTGAACACCACGGACATCCCAGACGAAGCCCACTTAGAGGCAATAGACGCCCGCCTCCTTCGTCTCTGGGAGGCGAGGTCCAGCCTACATAAGCGATGGAAAACTCAGCGGCACAACCGCAAGTTACGCCGCAAAATAGCCTACTTAGATAGAGAAATTGAAGAATATTCTCTGAAGTTACTAACCCAACAATGGGGCCAGATATGCGACAAGATGCAAGGGCAATTGGGGCTTAAGCGCACATGGCTTCTGCTTCGTCACCTCCTTGATCCAACCTCAAGCAAGCACGAGCAGCAACATCGACTTAATACTTTCCTGCACCAATGGCCGGGGACTGAGGACGAACTCCTCCAGGAACTCCAATCGCGATACGTAGGCGTCCCCCGGACTACTTCCTTGCCCCCGTATGCAGGGTCCAGTAACCCCCTCCTGGATTCGGACATTACGGTCCCCGAGGTTCGTGCGGCTCTGCTTCAGCTTCATACCAACTCGACGCCCGGCCCCGACCAAATCACTAACAAGGCCCTTCGCAATTTGGATGACCCATCCATAGAAGCCCTCACAAGATACATGAATGAATGCTGGAAAACAGGCAATCTTCCCCCCGCCTGGAAAACCGCAAAAATTATCTTTATCCCAAAGCCGGGTAAGACCATCGCCTTAGAAAACCTCCGGCCGATCTCGCTCACGTCTTGCGCCGGGAAGGTGATGGAGCACGTCACCCTGAATCGCCTCGTGGCGTTCGTGGAGGACAAGCATCTCCTCCCTCCGCAGATGGTGGGCTTTCGAGCCGGCCTCTCAGTCCAGGATGTGATGCTACAGCTTAAGCATCAAATCCTACAACCCACTAGCTCTCGCGACACCCGAGCCATCCTAGGCCTCGACCTCACCAAGGCTTTTGACAATGTCTCGCACGAGTCAATCCTTACTAACCTAGCCGCCATTAACCCAGGCCCCCGCATGTACGGGTACATCAAGGCTTTCTTAACTGACAGGCAGGCAACCATTACACTAGGGTCCCTCACCTCCGATCCCATACAACTGGGAAGCTACGGTACCCCCCAAGGCTCCGTACTTTCCCCCTTCCTTTTCAACTTAGCCCTTTTACCCCTTCCGGCTAAACTTAACACCCTTCCGGGACTTCATTATAGTCTCTACGCAGACGACATTACGCTGTGGATGGGAGGTGGCAGCGATGGACACATTGAGGCCACGCTACAATCCGCCGTGGACATCATAGCAGTACACGTGGGAGCGGCCAACTTATCTTGCTCTCCACAAAAGTCCGAACTCCTCCTACTGCGCCCCAGCAGAGTGGCCACGACCCCTCCCGAAATCAGGTTGCAAGTAAACAACCATCTCATCCCTGAAGTTCCTACCATACGAGTTCTGGGCCTCTTAATCCAAAACAACGGCAAGAATACACAAGCATTACAAAAACTACAAATAAGCGTAGATCAAACGCTCCGACTCATTCATCGAATCTCCTCACGACATCATGGCCTCACGGAGCAGGAGATGCTTCGGCTGGTCCAAGCCTTTGTGATTAGCCGACTTGTCTTCTCCACTCCCTACCTTCCCCTACAGCGAGCAGAGCTCGACAAAGTTAACGCCCTTATTAGAAAAACCTACAAGGCGGCCCTCAGCCTCTCGCCCTCTACCTCCACCGATAGACTCCTTAAATTAGGAGTCCATAACACGGCCGAGGAATTAGCCGAGGCCCATCTCACCGCACAATACGAACGGCTATCCACTACTCAGGCAGGCCGACACATCCTCACGTCGCTGCAGATTAACTTCCTATCCAACCCATCTCACAAATGCTCCCTACCCCTCGATATCCGCCAATCACTCCAGGTTTCTCCTATCCCACGAAACATGCACCCTCAATATCACGAACAGAGGCGCCTTAAGCGCGCCGAGGCCCTCCATAAGCGACTCGGCGGCCGAGAGGACGTGGCCTACGTCGACGCCGCTGAATACACCCGCCGAGAGGCGTTTGCCCTCTCGGCGGTTAACGATGCAGGCTCCCTTCTGACCTCCGCAACTCTTTACACTACACTTTCAGAAGAGGCAGAAGAGTTCGCCATTGCTCTGGCGATGACCAACACCTCCGCCACCACAATCGTTAGCGATTCCAAAACAGCTATCCGTAATTTCATGAAGGGGCGAGTTTCCCCCTACACCCTACGCCTTCTCACCACACACCCTCCTCACCATTCTGTCCACCTAATCTGGACCCCTGCGCACTCCTCCCTTCCTGGCAACGAGGCCGCCCACACTTCCGCCCGAGGACTCACCGACCGGGCTGGGGACCCCGCACCTCCTGGGATGGAGTTTCGCACGGCCCGGGACCGATTGGTCACCTTCCACGAGATCACAAACCATTATCGACTAAGGCGCCGCATCTACCCTCCCCCACACCCTTCCCTGCCTCGAGCTCAAGCCACTACGTGGCGACAGCTCCAGACCAACTCATATCCCAATCCGGTCCTCTACTCCCATATACACCCAGGCCTCTTCACCCCCTCTTGTGCGCTATGCCATGGGAGGGCAGACCTAACCCATATCATTTGGAATTGCCCGAAGGACCCTTGGCCCGACGGGCCTGGCATTGCTACCCTGGGGCAGTGGGAGGCCACGCTGCTCAGCTCGGACCCGGTCCTTCAGGACAGGGTCACCCAACGGGCTGAGTGGGTCGCTGGGGTCCATGGACTCCTAGCCACCAGGCGGGGATAAGCTCCCTATCCTGCCCGCTCAACAATCACCCTAAGACAAATAAAGTTTTTCCTCCTCCTCCTCCTCCTCTGATGCTTACAACAGTTCTCCCTGGTTGTGAGCACCGTGTTCGTAAAGCCAACAGCCTGGACAGATCTCCCAAGCTGCTGCTTTCGAAGACTATGTGCAGGATATGCGCAATGCGAGCTCTACCACGCTCGCTAACTGTTAGAGTCCAAGGAGCTGTACAAAGCACCCACCGGTGGGAGCCTGGGGTGCCTGCTGGACTGTCAGGCGGGACAGCGGCATGTCTCGCAGAAAGCCAGACTCCGTCTCGGGTGGGGAGCTACACATGTCGTCCAGGTTGGCCACAGTGTTCAGCCGATCCATGTGGCTCTTCATCCAGCCGGGCATGAGGGCCCTGCGGCCCGGAATGGGCTGCCCGGCCTCCGTGCTCATTGTCCGCGATGCGTTAATGCTGCATAAGACCAAACCATGTTCGACGTTTTCAAATTTCAACGTGTCGTTCGACAAAGGTTCGACTAAATTAAACTTTTGTGCGCATGCGCAAGAATTTAAAAAAACAGTTGACTCCACCTGGCGGAGGAAAAGTGCAATATTTGTTGGGTGTATTAGCATCACTGGTTCACATTACCAACGTCACTAAAACATTCAGTTGAAGAACTCACCCTTGAAACCCGGACCACTCGCGCCTACCAAAACCAAACTAGATTAGATAACAGCACCACTCTATAGCGACTAGTCAAAACATGAAAGTTCATTTATATTGCTGCTGTGAAATGACAATGCGAGATAGCACCACCGGCCCTTGCGCGACTCGACCTGAACTGATACATGCAGACGTGCAATTCTCGGAATGGCCGCTGCAGGAGATCTGGCAGCATTGCGGTCGCCATTAGTTTCGTTCTCAAGCATGGATCGAAGTCACTTTTTCAAAACAGGCAGCTTCCCAACTAAGTTGCTCTAATAACATTCACGTTACTAACTAATGAAAGCATATAAAAGCGCACATTTTCGCTCTTATATGGTGTAAAAATTGGTAACCATTTCATAAAATATAAAATAAACTACTTTCTAAATTATTTGTTTCCCAAAATTCGAAATATTCATAAAGAAGCCAGGCAGCACTGTCCATCAGTCGAACTTCATTGAACTTTTGTGAAAATTCAAAGGTTCGCTGCCTTGAGGTCCGACGTCAAATTTGAGGTTTGACAAAAGATTGCGACGCCCCTAGACCAAACCCACCCATTGTCTGCCACACAACACTGCATGACGAGGCTCCCAACGTATGCTCCGTTCAACTTCCTCTCCAAACCCAAGTGAAAACTCTTAGCACAGGTGATGGGGAGAAAGGTCATAATGTGATGCATTAACATAGCGGAAACAGCTTTGGACATCACTGTCCTACTGAAGACAAACAAGGCATACTACTAAAACAACTCACTGTAGGAAGCAGGGATTTGACACTACTCTGTACACATGGCTTGCACTGCTGTCACATTAGCTGCCATTCCCATGGCCTTGCCGCAAAGCGCATACATTTGGCAGCACACATTACGCACCACCATATTCGTTTTTCTCTGCAACACGTAAGAATGATGGCCAGCATGGTGCAATGGTGCCATGCTCGCCATCATTCTTACGTGTTGCAGAGATGAATGAATACGGTGGTGTGTAATGTAGCTTTCCAGTGGATATCTACTGGCGCTGGTAGTCCAAATAAATCTGACCAAGGAGAAGCCCAACAAACCGCTCCCTTGCGAAACAACTAGTGCTACAGTAACCTAGAGGACGCATGCAGTGGTGTGATGTAAAGTGCAGAAATGTAGGCCTGCAAGGCAATGGAGACCGGAACTAAAGCGGTTGGGCCGGTCATAGGATCCTGCCGACACTCGTACAGCTCGAGTTGCTTCTCTAAGGGGCGTCTTGTTCCACTAGACAGCGGCAAGAAAAACTCGAATTAAAAAAAATAAAAAAACTCAAGCTGCCCGTCATACCGTTAGAAGACAACGTAGACTCCATCTTCCAAACTTGTCCAGTGCAATGCAAAATGGGGCACAAATGACCGCCGCATGTCGACGTTCCCAACTGCGTACTAGGCCCCGAACAGCGTCGCAAGGAGGTCAACGCTTGGGCTCAAAATACCAATCACACAGATGAACTCCTCTCTCTTCAGATTAGCTACTCGACTAAAATTTAGTTTTCTTGCAGTCGGAAGGGCACGGCAGCGAGAACTGGACAACTTGCATTGTTTTGTGCATGCGAGCAAACTCCGACGTCCGGTATCAAGAGGCTGGTGACGTGTTGATATCTCGCAACGCGCTTTCATCAGCTCCGATAAGATACCACACGTCTCCATGCGCAGAAATCACAAATGAGCCTTGGTTTAGCAATGACGACAAGCGCGGCAGGAGCGTTTTCCACGGAAAATTAGCGATGATTAGGGTTATGTAAGAGGTAAGAGGAGACCTCCGAGCGAGCGTTACCGCTATCTGAGCAAAACACTGATAATGAAAACCACGCGAAATCACTCACCGTGGTCTTAGTGAAGGTGTGCATGATAAACTACCGGTAAGGTTTCATGATTTGGCGAGGACTTCTTACTAATTTTATGAAGGACATAGTCAGCAAGTTTACCGAGATTTTACAGTGTCGATGGCAATTCATAAGCGTCACAACTCGCAGCATCTCGCACCCATGGTCGCACCTCGGCCCTTCGGCCCAGACATCGGATTAAGAAACAGAAACAATTTTTCTTCTTCTTTATAATGATCAAGGTGAGTAGTTTTTCATTGAGATTGTTTTATGGTACCATTATTTATTTTGAACATATTATATGTGTCAACCCCTAGCACGGTCAGCACGGTGACCCCTAGCAACCCCTAAAGACTGCTAGTGACATCTGGGGTATGAACGAGCTACCATTTCCGTAAACACGATTGATGTAGCGGATGCATGAGCATGAGCTAAAGCGGCAAAGCAGGCAAAGCGGCTAAAGCTGCTAAAGCTGCTAAAGCTGGCTAAAGCCCTTAAAGCTAAAGCAAGAGCTTACAAGCCTTACAAGCTCTACGAGCGCACGAAGCCGTTGTATATTAGGCCAGCTTAAGCGTTACCGTGGTCGCGAGTATTTATTATTATTTTTTTTTAATTATTTTCCGATATGATTTTTGCAACGCACTTTGGCCATGCGAATGTGCCACGGAAAGTATTATTTATAGGTAGCATTATTGCCGTTGGCGTAACCACTCTCTTGGCGTTAGGGTATTATTGGAAAAGAAGATCGCGAAGATGTTACAGCGACGTTGACGAATCGGTAAGCGAAACATTTTTTTCTCCTTCATGAGGTAACTTGTGTGTATCTGTCCTATCGTGTTTAAACTTCGCAAAATAAAATTGCCGGATGATAATATTCCTTTGCTTCTAGACTGACAGCGGGAAACGCATTCTTGTCCTGGGACTGAATGAAGCCGGCAAGAGCAGCTTTTTGCTCCGTCTTTCGAGGCCGGATGCAGCGTTGACAAGTCTACAACCAACGGAAGGATTCAACGTGGTGTGCATCAACTCAGAAAACGGCTCTTCCTTAAACTTCTGGGAGCGTAAGCAACCACTTCATGACCCTCCATGGAGGACGCGTGACCGTGATTCTTGCTTCATAGAAGCCATCCAGTGCACGATACAGCTTCACTTCTACAAATTACCATAAAAGTATTCATATACAGCTGTTACTGTCACTAACACCTATTATCACTAAAACAAATTATATTGTGTAGTCGAGCTCAAAAGCGATACTGGTGACAACAATACGACAAAATTCATGCCAAAAATTTAAAAAAAAAAAAAAGACGGGTTGAGGACAAGAAAAGATCTTAAAGTTAACGAGCATGCACCAAAGAGCCAACTCAGTAGCACCCAACATCGTGTGTGTCAAAGCACAGGATGCCTTCTTGACTAGGTTTAGTAATGCATTAAATTGTTTTAAGTATTGATAGGCACTTGAAGAACTAAACCCTGAGATAGGGAGAAAGACGACGATGAAGGAGAGGAAGAACAGGAGTCTTTTTAGTTCATCATGTTCAATCATCACCAGCTTGTTTGCGCATAAACATTCTGTTGATAAGCACTGTTGCACACATGTGCAAGACCTTTCTAGGGAGGACATGGCCCTTTGATAGCTCGCTCTATTGCTGCACCATCATTTTCTTCCCTAAGCCTTATGCGAGGTTCACCTCAAAAGTCGGCACTTATCACTAAGTTATAAAAATGCATGTCAAGGAGACCCTTGGCCATATATATGATCTGTGCTGCTGAATGCATGTTGTCAGCAACCTGTCAATGCCCTCACACACAGGTTTTGCAAAAAAAAAAAAAAAAAAAAGAAGGAAAAGAACGAAAGACATTAAGAAGCTTGCATTGCTCTTTCCTAGTCAACTGCAACACTAACTAGAGAATTTTCTCTTGGCAACGAATATTTGCTGGAGGTATGAGTTGCACGAAATTCCCCACGATGGCCGAGTTACGAAATCATTAGAGAGAAAGAGAGGGAGAAGGGTAATTTCGTACCCTACCAGTTTCCATTTGATGGTCTCTTACATGTTGACCAGAACTGTAGTGTTGACATAGGTGCTGCTAGCCGACTCTGTGAAAAGAAGACCACTTGCAAAAATTATTTGCCCTTGCATTGATTTCTTGTCTTTTCCTCCTCACCTTTCTATGTCCTTCTTGCAGGCAGGAAATGAACTTGGCACTGGGCATAAAAAAGGAGGGGCAGTTGCGCCTTTTTTTTTTTTTTTAAGGGTGGGGTGTCATGGTAAGGAGGAAAGTGGTGGTGGGGCTCATTTCTGCTTGTAGGTCGGCCATTAAGCATTGTTCAAGCGTATCCAATCACATTATCTCTGCCATCTTTGCAAGGAAGCAAGTAAGTTAACGATCAAGGCTTTAGTGCTGTCACATATACAGGGCATTTATGGACAGGTGGGCAGTCTGTACATGACATACACACCAAAAGCACTAAAAGAAATAAAAAAAAAATTAACACCACACAAAAAAAAAAATGATTCATTCAGTATTAAGTACATGATGATAATAGTTGCATCAGCACTTTATCCTGTGCACCTTTCAGATAGTTTGCGTGTTTTCAACGAATGTGTATTTAAACTGTATTATGATGTCACTCCTTTTGTACTTGTTGTTTGTGATGCTTTTTGTGTGCAAGACATCTACGGAAGCTAAGGCAACCTAAATTGGATTGCATGTCGACATGCAAACATATTGCAGAAGATACACTGCCATTTTGGTTCCTTGCATTTCAGAGGGCTTGTTTAGGCATTGAAGCCTCTGCTTCCTAAGAATTATTTATTGTGTGACTCTTGGTAGCATGGGCATACCAACCGGAAGGGGGGGCAAGGGGGGCACTTGCCCCCCCCCCCCCCCCCCCCCCCAGTTCCTAGAGTGGGGGGGGCAAGGCATGTGTTTTGCCCCCCCCCCCCCCCCCCTCCTCCTGAAACAGCCGCCACTGGGCAGGGCAAACACTAGCCGGAGGCGCCGCAGGGATACCAAGGGCACTCACTGCCCCTGGCCCTGGGGGAGGGAGAGGGGTGGTCTGGTTTGCCCCCCTTCTCAGACAAGTTGGTACGCCACTGGTTGGTAGTTTCCCAAGGGTCTGGGTATTGGGGAAAACAGCCTGTAGTTATGATTGTAGTTGGTAATAAGGATTTCTGATTTGGAGTGTTTTCAGCTAAATAAATTGCCATGGATTTTACCAAAAAATATTCAGCATTTTTTCTGTATAGGCACGACACCAGCCCATAATTAATTGAAGGAAAAATTGCTTAGAAAGCAAATGGCAGTGCATGAAAGCAAAAGGAGCTCTAATGTATCAACTGGTATACAGTAAAATACTGAGCATATGCCCATGTCACAATAAGCATTCACCCGCTACTTTTCAAACATTTGAAAACTAAGCAAAGGACATACCAAGTGCCCCCCCCAATACAAACTAGCATACAAAAAAAAAAAAATATTGGTCCAATGTCACAACAAGCTACTGCTACTCTTGAAATGTTTGGAGACTAAGCAAAGGACATCACCGCCCAGCCCAGATGCCCCCCTCGTCAACTACTTCTCCGATCACCCCGGTGCAAAGCAGTGAAGCCCCCTCTATCACGTGTAGGGATGTCGCGAACCACCCCAAGTTCGATTTCGAAAGGTTTCGATATTTGCGAAGCGTACTGAGGTTCGATTTCGAAAAATTTCGATATTTTCGTACCGACCAAGGTTCGAATTCAAAAAAATTCGCAACTTTCGATCACAGTGGAGTTTCGAATTCAAAAAGTTCGAAGCTTTCACGGTTTCTAGAATTTCGGATTCGAATATTTCGAATATTTTTTTTTCTTCAGGTTCGATAAATTCGAATATTTCGAAATTCTTTGGAAATAAAATTCGAAAACTTCGAACGCTTCGAATTTTTATAGACATGAAGTTCGAACAATTCGAAGATTTCGAATTTCTTTCTGCATAAAATTCGAAAAGTTCGAAGGTTTCGATTCTTTTTTGACGCTAAATTCGAAAAAAAAAAAAAAAAAAAAAAAAACTTCGAAGATTTTGAATTTTTTTCTAGTCCAAGTTTTCAAAGTTCGAAGTCCGGTTTTCAAGTTACTCCACAGTTTGTTTCAAATAACGTTTTCACGACGCACTGGTTTTCACAAAATCAAGTTTAGAAAAGTTAGGGTGTGATATCTAGATTCTTCGAAGTTGGTCAGGCAATTAAATGAGACGACGAGTGTCCCGGATGTGCTGGAATATTTGCCAGTGCAGAGTGACGTGTGACCATGGATCAGTAATTGTGACCGCCAGCTCGGGGTGGGGGAGGGGTCTTTAACCTGCATCACGCAGTAGTGATCACACGAACACACTGTTTTACGAGACTCATCCAGTTTGAAATGGCCAGGGACGAGCAGAAGGTTGAGGCTCAGAAAAACCTTGAAGCGACCTGGCAAACTACCTCGCCACCCCTTGCGCGCTGGTAGTAATCTGATCGAACGCCGCCCGAGTGACGCTGGCATATAGTAAGTTAAGTTTGTAATTATCCTGGAGATTTATTTTCTGGGACGGAGGAATCGCCTCGCAAAAAGCCGACACAACTCGAGGTCGAGGAGCGTTCTACCATACAAGTGGCGTCGGAAGAGGAAAAACGGGGTGTAAGCGTCACATGCTTAGTGGTTCGGAAGTTCAAAGCTATGTCTTTTCGACCTAAATACCTGTGCCAATAGTAAAAAAAAAAAAAAAAAAAAAAAAAAAAAGTGCGGGGATAAAAAGTTGGGGAAAAAAAAAAACTATCAAGAATTCGCCGGAAGTGTTGTATTCTTGCGTATTCAGAGGTTCAGAACTTCGAAACAAGTTTCTTTTACCAAATTGTGTACAGGCTAAAAGAAACACGTCCCAGGATCGTGAAGCGAAAAAAAAGAGAAAAGTTTACTTTTAATGACGTGCTGAACTTGAACACTATCAGAAATCTTCTCCCATGAGTTAATTCATTCCTTAACGTGAAAAAAACAATAAATACATTATTTTGTATTCTGCAGATGGCAATGATATGTACTGTCTGTGGTGTTAATTTAAATACGATACCTTAAACAGCTTAGACGAAAATAAATATCAAGTTTAGGGCATAATTGCATGTAGATACATGTTTGGACATTTCTTCGAAACTCACGTTGAATAACAATAATCACATCTTAAGACGGCACATACCTAGGCTATACATAGATCATTCTTGAAAAAGTATAACATCTCTACCACAAATAGCTTCGACTACAGCGCGCTTCAAATCTGGCACAAACGATAATCGTCAAAAACCCGTCGTCCTTCCTCGCCCCTTCGGAAATTTATTTCTTTAAAACTAAGCATGCCAGAACATTGAAACAAACGCCATTGTCTTTCGTAAGGAACGCAGCACCGCGTGTAAAAGTTCGAGAAAAAAAAAAACTGCGAATGTACCTCACTACTTGAATTCAAATGAAACCGTCCGCTGGTCTTTCGAAGTTCGACGAACGTCGAACTTTTATCCTAAAAGTTCGAAGTTCGTCGATATTCTGACTTTTCCAAGGTTCGAAACTTTTCGAATTCTCTTCATAAATAAGTTCGAAATTCATCGAATTTTTTGGTCAGTCAAGTTCGGAAGTTTGACAAGCATAGAAATTTGGAGCGCAATAAGTTCGAAAGTTCGATAAAGATCGAATTTTTTAGTGTAATAAGTTTGACGGTTCGAAAAGCGTCGAACTTCTTAGCTCAACAAGTTCAAAAATTCGACTTCCGTCGAATTTTACAATGTAGACATTTCGAAAAATCGAAATATTTCGAACTTTTCGAACCGCTTGATTCGATCATCGAAACTTCGATTCGAAAAAAGTTCGCGGCATCCCTAATCATGTGCCGCTTCAGCATTTTTACTCCTAGACATAACGAGTGCCGATCCTCCAGTTTTTCCAGATTATCTCCAAACTTTGGATGGGCACTTGCTCAGTATTTTATGGTAATGCTCACTGAAGAAATGGTAAGTCTGCACATGAGTTAGTGAAGATCTAATATTTTGAGCCCAAGATGTTTTGCAATGCAAGTTGAACCCTTTGCCTACTGCAATAGTTTTAAGAGAATGATCCCAATATACCAATTTTTTTTATTTTTACATTCTTGCATCGGATTTTGCTGACATTCGCTGTAAAAAGAAGTTCAAAGTTGTATAAACAGTTTGCATCACCTGCCACGTTAACGTTTATGCCCGGCACAGCACTGAAGTGAAAATTTAGAGGCACGAGGGGGAGGCTTTTTCACATTGATTCTCGTCCAATGCCAACACAATGTCATCATCAGAACCTGAGTCGTCGGAGCTAAAGTCAACAGCTCAGTGGCCTCACTGTCACCATCAAGTGAAAGGCTTGTGTCCTCATCATCCGAATCGCAAGACATGTCTTCGTTGCACACTTGTCACGAGGGACACCGCTTCCAGAAGTGGGTGCCACCATTTTTAAAGCTGCCAGCATTGAACCAATTTTCTGCCAAATCTATAAATTTACCACATCTTTTGCGCCATCTTTTGACGGCACGCAACACTAAACACACTTCAACTAGACTTTTCATTGAAGTCCAGACGCGGCCGACGCTACGAGCTGGTGGGACCAATCGGACAATGTCAGAAGTGCACCATCATGGTGTTTGTCTAATCATCACTAAACTAATCATAAACAGAAAAGGCCCAGTGACTTGCGCTTTTGACCCTGTTTGATTGTCCCCATTAACTCGTAGTGTCGGCTGCATCTGGATGTAAGCTGAACCGAAGTATAGCCCAATTCGCCTTTGGTGAGGGGCATGCGTTCAATTAAGCATGGACGAGCGGTACGGACAGTGTGGACGAACCCAGCTCCTCCATAGTAGGAAACGGGTTAATGTTTGTCCCCTTCATTCATGGAGGTTGGAAGCTTCTGGGGGCGACATGAGGCTACCAGAACTGAAGCCAAAAAGAAGTGTGGAGGGACATGCCCCCAACGATGGCCAAAGCCAAGAGACGCTATGGACGAAAAGAAGAGCTGACTTGATGCCAACAGCTCTCCTTTTCGTCCAATAGCGTCTCTTGGCTTTGGTCGTCGTTGGGGACAGGTCCCTCCACACTTCTGGCTTCATCTCTTAGCCTCATGTTGCCCCCAGAAGCCTCCTGCCTCCATGCCTTCAATGGATTGCATGACCCATTCAACAGGTTATGTAACAAATTCTAATTTGTAGGCTGATGTTACAGCAGAATGTTTTCTTTCTGCTGTTTCAGTGGGAGGTTCTGAGACTGTGCGGTCTTACTGGCCAAATTTCCTGCATGATACCAACGTCCTGGTGTATGTGGTGGACTCTGCGGATACCAAACGTCTGCGCTGTGCAGCGCACGAATTCCAAAGGGTGCTGCAAGATGAGCGCCTCCGAAAGGTCCCAATCCTTGTCTTAGCAAACAAGCAGGTGAGCCCCCTGCGTTGGAAACATTAATAGTAGAGCGGGCATCACCGCTCTGAACGGTCAAGGGTTCAAACACACACCTGCACCAGTGAAAGAATTCTGGTGTCATCTGCAAGAAACTAATTTTCCTAGAATTAGGGGTGGATCAGTTAGCCATTCAATTTTTGTTTAACCCTTCGAGTGCCACGCCCGAATATATTTGGGCGCGTTGCCGTGTGGTTTCGCTTTGCTCCCTGCCCCTCTCCACTGGGCTATTATTTTTTGTTTACATGTAGCAGCACGCATGAGCGAGCGATGAAAAGAATGTTTTGTACTGTGGTTTCTCTTTTTGATGGCATTGAGGTTTTTGTTTACATGACTTCTGTTGCGGTACGCGCCTTCGTTGTTACAGAATGGCTAATCTATGTGGTTTAACCTTGTGCTTCATGGTGAACTCTGAGATCTTAAAATTACTAATGAACTCGGTATTTGACGACTGTGGAAACAAATTACACTTCTGAATAAAAAAAAACGAAAAAAAAAACGGAGTAAGCTTGCTCAAGAGTGACCTCGGGGTACTAGGTCAAGATGCCACTGCATAGTACCCTGTCTCGAAACTTGCAATACAAGAAATATGTCGTAGGTTGGAGGCATTCAGACATCAATTAACTTTTTGCTCATAAAATAGTGTCTTTTATAGGTAAATATTCTTCACAGAGCATGTTGCAGTGTTACAGACCAAAATTTGCATTCCACATGTGGGGAAAAAACCTGCCACTCAAAGGGTTAATGTCTCCTAGATTTTATCATCTAGGTGTCAAGCTCATTGAGCAGTGCTTTCATGTTTCCTGCCATCAAGCAAATTTTATTGCCCGTTCCACCAAATAGCTCTTAAAATGGATGCAAATCAACACACTTGTGTAAGAAACTTTGTGCAGTGGCTTTGTTAACATCAACCCAATGCTTGTAACTGTTGCTGTTTTGCTGACCAGGGACCTTAAAAAAATACTTCAACGAAATTTGAAATATACCCGTCGTGTTCAGAAATAGGCTGAATATGATCCACAATATCCGTAAATGACAATCGCACGTTTGTATTTTGAGCCTGATGGCTGTATTCTTCTTTATAAACGGCCCACTCTGGCAAGCGCTCGGAGAGCAACCAGTGGAGAGCACGTCATATCCGGCGCAATCGTGACATAGTTTGTCTCGGGATTAGCAAAGGTGCCGGGAGGCCCTAGCTGCTTCAGACAAAAGCAGCTAAGCTGCTTTTGTCTGAATTTTGAGTGAGGGGTTAATCTTCTATAATCTTGTAGGGTGAGAATAGCGCCTGGGACACACAAAAGAGAGTCCCGTTGAGTGGGGAGTTCCTCCCTCCCCTCTTCTCTTGTGCTGGCTGTAGAGCTGTTGGGGTGACGTCTGGTTCAATGCATAGTATAGTTCTAGGCGATCGTCGAACTCGGTTATCGTCACTACCTGTCAAGGTTCCTAGACGGGCATTACAAACGAGGCTTTAGCGACATCCACCAGGTGCTCTTTGCTAATCATTTTATTTGTTTTAAAATTCCTTTTTGTGTTTTTTTTAACAAGATATTGGTGTGTCCAATGTGATACTGCTTTTTTCAACATGTATAGACCAAAAAATAAGGGCCAAAATTTCGTTGTAGTATCCCTTTAATAGCTTTCATACTCTCTCAGTTTGTAGCTACTTTACAATTCCTTCAGTTTCATTACTATGGTGCTAAAAAAAAATTATTTATATTCATAAAGCATGAAACCTGTATCTGTTCTTGTTCATGAACACTAATTTTTAAACGAAAAAGAAACAATGGCAATATTTGTTTGATTGTTTTTTCTCATTTTTTATAACTGCCTCTCCCCTCCCCCCCCTTCCCCATCCCCCTCCCTCCGAAAAAAAAAAAAAAATAATAATGGAGCGCATTTTATATGCAGGGTGAAAATTTTTATTTAATTTTGATTGGACATTTGATTTAAATCAGATTAATGTGATTTTGAAAACGAGAAAACAGGCGCATTCGTGCTATGTGAAGTTGATAGTAATCTCTAGTAGCGCAAATTACGACTTTGGCCCACATGCTGAAGTAGGAGAAAGTAAAAAAAAAAATAACGAAAACAATTGGGATTTTGAAAAAAAAAAAAAATTTTTGCAACTCGGTATGCTCAAGCCGCAGTTCGCTAGTTTCGTGAAATCACTAGCAAATCCGTTCTCCTTGTATCAAAAGCTGGAAGTAACGTTTGCAAAAAAAAATTTGAAGAGTCACGCAATATATTTTTCGACAAATTACCCAAGCACCACAGAGAATGCTCAGAATATGGGTACAGATGCCACACACGCTCGTGTTACCTGAAGGAACGTGCCATTTGCTTTAGATTTTCTTTACAAACATAACTGTTGCAGATGCCAGCGTGTGTAACTACTTTTGTAGTTTGCATATGCTCCTTGGTGCTTAAGTTATTTAGCAAAATATCTATAAACAATTCCAGAAAAGTGCTTCTGGTCGGTGCCATTATCAGTGTTCGTGTGTGTGGCGCGTACTTTACTCGCCTTCCAAAGCGGCGAACATGGGCATGCTGGGCTGTGACCACATATAGATTGTGAGTCTCACAAACAATGACATGTATAGAACGGAATGAACTGCATTCGTGTATGCCAGATGGCAGGTTACATTTTATGAAGATTGTGCTAAAATGACAATTAAAAGAACTCCACAACCACCAAGCCAAATATCAAGGTGCATGGAATGGCGTCTAAAATACACAAATACACTATTCATCTTTAATTAAAGAATGTTTGCTTGAAGATACAATAGTGAGTAAAGTTCAGAAATGCATAATACAATTTTTAATTTATACTAAGTTTGCCGAAGTTGCTCAAAGAAAATGTTTTACACATACTTTTCTTTTTTGACTGTCAGAGTATAGATTGCAACACATTCAAACACTCATCCACAAGTGTGCTTGGGATTTTTAAATTAATTTTGTTTTGCACAATTTCCATCAGGTGTAAATGTACATGCCTCCTCCCTCAACGACATTAATATTTTCATCTTTTTAAAACTTTTCAGCGCCATATAACGTTCTCCGTAATAGAATATGATAATGACGTTTTAACCTCCTCTTCTGGCAAAGAATATAGCACGCCAACCATTTGACAAACCAGGCAACGCCTCTATCGTATATTGATGGAGCTCAACACCTGCTCTTTAAACCTCTGTAATACCAGAGACGAATGGCGATGTGTCAAAAGTCATGTCTAAACTCAGACTTGAACTTTGTTTCGACATTTTACTTCTCGTCTTTAAGAGATTGGCCACGTGAGTGGAACTCAGAGAGCAGCCCAAGCTAGATTCGATCTCCAAAACAAATGTAATGTTTATGAGAAGAAAAAATGATTGCATCTCCACGTGGTGACTGATATTTATTGGGGTGAAGCTCGGGTGGTGCTGATGATAATGATTTTGGTCATAGGTAGTGCTGATGGTGCTGTTTTCATTCATGTCAGTAGAAGAATGTGTGGTTTTCTTTTTTTTCATTTTTTAAGAAGACAGATGGGATGGCAACTCAGAAACCCTCTACACTTTTTTTTTCTTCTTTTTCTTGATACTGATTTTGGTCATAGGTAGTGCTGATTGCCGTTTTCATTCATGTCAGTAGAAGAATGTGTGGTTTTCTTTTTCTTTTTTTAAGAAGACAGATGGGATCAACGTTGTTAGAACCAACTCAGTTCTGGAACTCCGCTCCGGAGGGGAGTCCCTTTGCGTGGCGCCTGTTAGGGGGCGTGCACTCCGCATTAATACTCGCTATCATCATCATTGACGGCGCGCTTGTGGCCGTTGCCATAGAGATCGTACATGGCCGTTGCATCTGGCCTACTGAGCTTACGGATGTTTGTGGCGCTTTTTCTGACAGTAGCAGACGACTTTCAAATTGTTTCTGCTGCAATTGGTAGTCATCGGCACATCTACTATTACAGTATGTACAAACTTGCCCTGATTGTAGCCACCGGATTGTGGCGCCAACGATTTTGGGTTGTTCGAAACGCTTCGCGCTGTCAGCACAGTTAAGGCAGCAGCATTTTACAATAATGCAAAGCGTATGCCAAAACGGTCGTAGCTCTTTTCATTCTCAAATTGTAATTTTTACTGGCGAAAGGGCAAAAATTAACCAAAAACCATGCTGAACCTCGAGAGGAGTCGGGACTCGCAAGCAGCTGCGGAGCAGTAGCAGACGAAAACGCGTGGAATAATGCGCCGGCAGCGCCACTTAGCTGCAAAAAAATCGGACACGGTTTCAAACCCCCGCCAATGTACAGCGTCAATGAGAAGTTCCATAACTGAGTTGATCTAGTAACGTTGGATGGGATGGCATCTCAAAGCCCCCTATTTTTTTTTTTTTTTTTTCTTGCTCTTGCTGTTGAACTCACGAGCAGGAGCTCGTGAGCTCACGAGCAGGGGCAGGTGGGGCGTTTTTTTTTTTTCATTTTTTTTTTCTCTTGCTCTCGCTGCTGAATTCACGAGCAGGGGCACGCGGGACAGCGGACGGACATACGGACATGGCTAGCCCCTAAGGAGCTTCACCCCTAAAAAGAAAAAACATGCAGTTGTGAGCAACAAATGTGACTGCACCAAATGTCGACAGTGGTGCTGGAATGTGCACCATTTTTCTCAATATTATGAGCACTCCCTTTTGGACAGATGTCGTGGTGATCGCAGCAGCTTGTGTCAGCGCTTGCTGCTCTTGAAGCGGTTCCAGCTACAGAAGGATACTCAACTCGCAGCACGCGACTATAAAGTATTCCGAGCATAAATGAGCATGTTTCAAGTGACACTAGTTCTCTCGGCACACAGTTCGCGCAAAAGCACTTTGACGTGGCTGGCCTCAATAGACCATTTGTTAAATCCCCTGAGCGCCCCTGCCCGCGCTTGAGGAATCATGGGAAAAGTGTCCCTTCAGCTCCCTAGTGATGCTAATTTCGACCAGTTCTATGGTTACACAGTTTTGAG